CAACTTGTTGACTTCAGCTTGAATGGCTTCGATTTTCTCTGTTGAGATTGCGTTTTTTCTGCCTTACCGGTCTAAACCTTCGATCTACATTAAGCTTATGCTCCATTACCTCCGGATGTAAGCCAGGCATATCATTTGCCGAGAAGGCAAACACATCTGCATTCTCCCTTAATAGGCTGGTCAGGTTACATCTCATTTCAACATCCATTCGGCCCCAACTTTAACTGTCTGATCCGGGTTCCCCAGTCGGAGCTCTATCTGCACCGTCTCACCTCCTAGTGACGGCCTCGGCGCAATTTCTGTCCTAGAATCAAAAATTTTCATAGATAAATTTCGCACCGTTGGCTCTCTTGCTCGCTTCGGGTTGTTCGGTACTGCTCCTTTCTGCCCTGGATTTTTCAGTGCCGTGACATAACATGATTTTTCCATCACCTGTCCGCCATGTACCTTTTCTACAGCCCCTCTATTTGACACATAAGCAATAGTTAAATGGTAAGTTGATACTACTGCCTGTATGTCGTGAATTATCGGCCTTCCAACTATTTCATTATATGCCGATGGTAAATCCACCACAAAAAATTCAGCCATTGCATCTCTTGCCATTGCTCCATCTCCAAACCTAACAGGGAGAACTATACTCCCTTCTGGTCTTACTGTCGAACCATTAAACCCAATCACCGGATAAAATACCGGCGTTAGATATTGTCGGCCTATCATCAACTCATTAAACGCTTGCATAAACAAAACATTTGTTGAACTTCCTCCGTCAACTAGAATTCTCTTCACATCAGCTCCATTGATTTTTGCTATCAACACGAGAGGATCATCATGAGGAAAAACTATTCCCTTTGCATCTTCTTTGGTGAAGGTTACATCTGGAATCTCAGATGGTTGCGGGCGATCACTGACATCTAATGCATTAACAATGTGTCGATGTTCCGATAGGTGTTTCCGTGCTCCACTTATCGTTCCTCCGTGAACTGGTCCACCGGTTATTACATCAACTCTTTTTCCAATGGACGGCGGTGGTTGCCCACTTTCACCTTGCCGGTTTACTTGCCCTTGCCTTTCTGGCATGAGCTCTATCTGCTGACGCTCTGGCTGCCAGTATTGATGTTGCTGACTTTCCCCAGAGTGTAGTCGACATTGAGTGAGATGCCCTCTTCTTATTAATTCTTCAATATTATCTTTTAATTGCACACAGTCTTCAGTGTAATGCCCCACATCTCGGTGGAACATACAATATTTCTTGGTATCCCTTCCTTTTGCTTTCATCGGCATGGGCCTCACACATCCTTCTCGATTCTGATTTATAGAATATATTGCAGCCCTCGGTGCATTCAGAGGTGTATACGAATTATATCGCATTGGTGCCTTGGTTCCTCTAACCTCTTGGCGGTTTCCTCCCCTTATTGCGGTAGGATTCCTCGGCCTTACAACTCCTCAAGATCCCCCTTCTGACATCGGGTGAATCCTATCGGTGGAACTAACTCGGCTACTTGTTTTCATCAATTCTTCACTCTTTATATAATAATGAGCTTTGTTGAAAGCTGCAGCTAATGTTGGCTGATTTTTTCGGGTTAAGTATCTTTTAAATTCTGAATCATTCAGGCCATTCATTAGTGCCATGACTGCTATCTCCTGCTGCAATCTCGGAATTGTATTGGCTTCATTATTAAACCTCCTTATGTAGTCCCTTAGAGACTCATCTGCCTTTTGAGTAACAGCCATCAACTCTCCAGAAGTTCTCTGCCGAACACTATTACTAACATACTGCCCCACAAACATTTCGGCTAACTGTTGGAAACTATGGATTGCTCCATTTTCAAGATTATTAAACCAATCAGCTGCTGCTCCAACCAGAGTGGTGGGGAATACTTTACACCAAACGACATCAGAATTGGTATATAAAATCATGTGACCCTCATATGAGGTCATGTATCTACCTGGATCTCCCCTTCCATCATACCGACATGTCGACATTTTGATTTTTTCCATCGGTTGATCAAGGATGCTCTGCGCAAATGGTGATGCCCTCAACTGAACTACTCTTCGCACCACTCCTTGCTGATAAGTCCCCGTACTTTCATCTTGACCTGAGGATTGAACCTGTGATTCTCTAGGGGTCTGTTGGGATCTTATCGGTGACCCTTCATGTCGGCGTCTTTGCGAACTTTCGGTCTGGTTAAATTGATTGCCGTGAGTTGTAAAAGGCACCCCTCCACCATCTTGGGTTGCTCCTACTTCCTTTCTTTTTTTACTCATGGCGGTCATCACTCTTGCGGCCGTTTCCAGTTATCCTCAATCTGAATTTCTAGATCAGGCATTTTTTTTATCGGAAGGTATGAGGCTCTTTTAGGCGATAGAAGCTATTAAGTAGCTCCCCTTCCTTCTAGCGCCAATTGTTTCTGCAGGACTCCAATGACCTAACTCCAAGATCCGAAGCTCGAGTATATAACCCGTTCTGCTTCTATCGGCCAAACAAGAACCTACACACAGAGAAGAGATTAGCTAGCCCCGGGGTGAATCCGGGGATAACCACTCCAAAGATTAAGTCAACAAGTGTTTATGGAAAGAAGAAAGAGATTATTTAGAGAGAGAAAGTAGTGTGTGAGAGAGAGAGAGAGAAAGAGAGAGAGAGTGTAATAAATGCTACCTTATTTATGAGGTAAAACCAGATTATTTATAGGTTGATTAAGTGACGGGTGACAGTTTAATAGGCAAAGTAATTTTTGCCACGTGTCAATCGTGAGAACGACACGTGTCAGCTGCTTACATGTCGATACGTATGCTTTATGTATAAATGCCGATATTAACAAGAGTTGCTGATGAACCGAATTCAAATAGTATATCGGCCTAAAAAACAATATCGGCCTATCATACAGTATCGGCCTTAATGTAAATATTATGTAAATATTTCCCCATAAAATAATGGTGGTAGATTTTATCTATCCTTAATTTATTCTTCATTTTACATGTTCATTGTTGTCAAAGGAGGTGTATGATGGTGGGCGTGTATGTCAAAGGAGGTGTAAATGCTATTGTCAAAGGAGGTGTATGATGGTGGGCGTGTATGTCCAAGTAAAAGGTTCAAAGGAATATGTGTTAGCAGCAGAAATTGTGAGGCAGTTTGCAATGCCGAGAGATTTCCTGGAGGAAGTTGCCAAGGATTTCGCCGCAGGTGCATTTGCATAAAACCCTGCGCTAAGGCTTAGCCAACGATTTGTTCCTCATAAACAAGAATCAACTTGATGCATCATAAATACACTATATGTCTATATGTCTCTATGTATCATATTATACAATCGCGTGTGTACTAGTACTACACTACTTATTACGAGTAATTGTGGTAACTTTGTAATATAATGATATACAAAGTAGCATAGTAGTGAGCTACTTGTAAATTCGTAATAAACAAGTACAATGTATGTATAGTGGAAGTAGAGTATTAAATATTTAAATTTGTGATCAGCTTTGTCCAAAAAAAAAAAAGTTATCGAGCCTATGTAGTATTAGTATGTGTACGGTGTACCGGTTGATATACTATGTATAATGTAGTGTTTTGCACAATTTGAGATGTATTTTTCTTTTTAGAAAGGTGTTGACCCTTATGAGGTTTTGATGATGATGTTAAGAATTGAGCAAACTTCCTTTTAATAAGGATTTTCTAGTGTTGTGATGTTTGCAGGTTCAGTAGGCGCTGAGGGCTGAAGTAGGAACTGGGTCAAAGGAACTTTAGAAGATTCATGAGGACAAGTAAAAGACAGAAGAAGAGTTCCAGCAATGGAACTTCTCGAAGTTTCTCAACAGGAACTTCAAAACGGGTTGTAACGACCTGGTTCCGGTGTAATGCTGGGGCAAGCCTCAATAACCAAAGATCAGTGCAAAGATCAAGATATCAACTGAAAAAGATGGACTTCATAACTTATAGTGTTATAAAAGATAAGTTTGTTTTATAGGTTGATGTAAACCCATTAATGGTTGTTGCGCATGGAACTTATTAGAAATCAGATAAAGCTTGGCAAACAAACTAATTTGTAAAAGATAATTATAAGTTTTATGAAAAAGTATTTATTTGATTTTATCCTTTAAAATCTGGTTGAACTTGGTTTTATCTTTTTCATAAAATTCTATCTTTTAACAAAAACGAATTTGATAAAATTTGGTTTTCATAAAAAACGAAATTAAATCTGTTTAGTTTCGGTTTTAAAAAGATAAGTTTAGATTTCTATTTAACTTATCTTGTTTGCGAAAACCTAGTTTATGAGCTGAGAAACTCCTATAAATATAGAAGTAATTCAGCTTAGCAAAATGAGAGTTTTAAGCGTGAAAACCACTTAGTGCTTAAGAGTAAGTTTGCCAAAGGTTTAAGCTTTATCATTTTGATTTCGGGTTTCATGTGTAGCTTTCCATTTATGTGTTAGAGTGTGTCTTTGCGTTGTAATTGGTTTTGGGGTGAGATTGTGAATTCTCTTAAATTCACGTTTGAGTGTATGAGTTTGAATTCTCTAAAATTCGAGTGGTAGTCAGTCACCCCGAGTGTGTCTTGGGTTGCACAGTGTGAAAAAGGAACCTGAGTATGTCTTAGGTCGAGAAAGGAACCTGAGTGTGTCTTGGGTCGAAAAAGGTGCCTGAGTTTGTCTTAGGTCTGATAGGATAGGTTCTTATCAATTAGCAAGTGTCTTAGGAGGAACTTGCAAAGCAAAGGTTTGTGTAATAGGTTGTACTAGGAGAGTTGCCTATTATAGTGGAATTTGTTTATAAGTCCCAATAGGGCCGAGGTTTTACTTCCAGTTAGGCACTGGATGGTTTCCTCGTAAAACTTGATGTGTGCTTTAAGTTTCTTTATGTTTTTATTGTTTATTTCCGCATAAGTTCTGCGATTGGAACCTACTACCATTCACCCCCCTCTCGTAGTAGTTCATCTAAACTAACAATTGGTATCATAGCAGGTTCTCACGAAGTTACAAGCAACCTTGTAGAGTAAAGTTCCTGAACAGATGAATGCTCGCGAGAAACTTGAAGAAGGGTATTCTACCCAAAGACCACCAATGTTCAATGGCAAGTTTTATTCATACTGGAAGAATAGAATGGAGATATTCATCAAAGCTGAAAATTACCAAGTATGGAGAGTCATTGAAAATGGTGACTTCGAGTTAACAAAAACCAATGCAAACAAAGAGGTAATCCCTAAACCACTAGCTGAATTTGATAAAGAAGATTATGAAAAATATGAGTTAAATGCTCAAGCAGTGAAAATCTTGCATTGTGGACTAGGACCTCATGAGCTCAATAGAATCATGGGGTGTAAGTCCGCAAAGCAGATTTGGGATTTACTGCAAGTAACACATGAAGGAACGAATGAAGTTAAACGTTCCAAAATTACTTACTAATGTCAAAATATGAAAGATTTGAAATTCTACACAAAGAATCCATTCAGGATATGTTCACTAGATTTACTAACATTGTCAATGAGTTAGAATCTTTAGGTAGGTCCATACCCATTGATGAACAGGTAAGGAAAGTCCTTAGAAGTCTTCCTCAAGATGAGAGGTGGAGATACAAGGTCACTGCTCTGCAGGAATCCAAGGACTTCCCCAAGTTCAACCTTGAACAGTTCAATGGTTCCCTGCTCACTCATGAACTCCATCTTGGAGCAAACTCTGAAAGTTCCAAGAACAAGAGCCTTGCTCTAAAGGCTTATGAATCAAGCGACTCTGAAAATGACGATGTGGAAACTGCCATGCTTGTACGGAGGTTTAGGAGAATGCTAGGAAAAAGAGGAGAAAAGAACAGACGAGGACAGCCAAGTTCCAAAGATTTCAAATGCTACAGATGCGGTTCCGAAGAACATCTTCTCAGATACTGCCCTAATCCTAAGGAGGACGAGAAAGCCAACTACAAAGGCAAGGAACAGAACAAGTATTACAAATCATCATTCTCCAAGGAAGATGTAAGAAAATCCATGATGGCTGCATGGGGAAACTCTGATTCAGAAGATGAAGGAGAAGGAGAATCCATAGAAGAAACAGCCAACTTGTGTTTAATGGCTAAAGCTAATAATGAAGCTCGTCTGAAGGAACTTGAATCTGAGGTATGGTATGACTATCGACAACTCAAACATTTAAATAAAGAAAATCTTATGGATATTATTCTGGAACTTCAAGAGGATTGTAAAGAACTAAATAGGTCAAAGTTCCAAACTGATCAAGCTTTAAAAATCCACAAAGAACATAGTGAATGGGTTGATAATATGAAAGATGATGTTCAAAATAGATTATTTGATTTATATGATAAAAATGTCCTTCTAAAAGAACAAGTTGAAAAACTAAAACATGACAATATACTGTTAAATGTAGAGCTGGCCCAACTAAAACTTGGAATTGACTTTCCTGACACTGAAGTTCCTATTGCAAACCAACTTCCAAACTTTGAGAAATTAAAATCAGATTTGGAAGAAGTTAAAATAAAGAATCAAACCTTGGAGGAGGAACTTGCTAGAGCCAGGAAAGGCAAAGAAGTGATTAATAATGGAATTCCATCTTGGATAGCTAATGCTCCAAACAAGAATAAAGGAGGACTAGGATATAAAAAGAAATCTAGGAGAAATAGGAAGTATGTAGATCTACCCAGTCAAAAATTATGTCACTACTGTTGTGGTACAGGACATCTTCGAGCTACATGTCCTAAAAAATTCAAGATACTCTTAATAATACTGAGCATGCTGAACAGGTATGGATGAAGAAATCTGACTCTTCTTCCAAAACAGTGGAGCCCAAGGAAACATGGGTTCCAGAAACTAACGCTTAGTTTTCATGCAGGTTCCAGTGAGGGGGAACAACACTTGGTACCTCGATAGTGGTTGTTCTAAGCACATGTCTGGAGATAAATCTAAATTTCTCTCACTGGATGCCTGCTATGGAGGAACTGTGACCTTTAGTGATAATAAGAAAGGTGAAATCATTGTTATAGGTAAAGTAGGAAGGTCAAGTTCCCATGCCATTGAAAATGTTTTTTTAGTCGAGGGTCTTAAACAACAACTTGTTAAGTATTTCTCAATTTTGTGATAAAGGTAACTCAGTTAGCTTTACTTCTAATCTTTGTAGAATCATTAACAATGACACTAACAATATTATTCTCGAAGGAACCAGAAAGGGGAACACATATATTGTGGATCTCAATGAAGTTCCACGTAGTAGTTTGACCTGCCTTAGTGTCATTGAGAATGATCCCTTATTGTGGCACAAACGATTTGGCCATGCTAGCTTTTCTTTGCTTGATAAACTTAGGTCGAAAGAACTTGTGGAAGGACTTCCATCCATCAAGTTCCTAAAAGATAAAGTTTGCAGTGCTTGTGTTAAAGGTAAGCAGACACGAATTTCTTTCAAATATAAGAATATGGTAAGCACCACAAAACTATTGGAACTTATTCATATGGATTTGTGTGGTCCCATGAGGATACAAAGCAGAAGTGGCAAAAGGTATGTAATGGTTATTGTAGATGATTTTTCCAGATATACCTGGGTTTTCTTTCTTGTAAGTAAGGATGATACTTTTGATCAGTTTGTTGCTTTTGTGAAGAAAGAACAGAGAAGAACAGGTCATCAGTTAGTCCACCTGAGATCAAACCATGGAACTGACTTCGAAAACTCAAAATTTGATGAGTTCTGTGAAGAACATGGAATGGACCACAACTTCTCAGCCTCCAAGACTCCACAACAAAATGGAGTTGTTGAACGGAAAAATAGAAGCTTGGAAGACATGGAAAGAACAATGTTGATTTCTAGTGGACTACCTAGGAACTTCTGGGCAGAAGCTGTAAACACAGCTTGTTACATATTGAATAAAGTCTCTATTCGAGCTATAACCAACAAAACACCTTATGAACTAATGAAAGGAAGAAAACCAAATATCTCTTACTTTAGATCTTTTGGTTGCAGGTGCTTTGTACACAATAATGGGAAGAGAAACTTGGGAAAATTTGATGAAAGGAGTGATGAGGCTGTGTTCTTAGGATATGCCTCAAATAGTAAAGCTTATAGAGTTTACAACAAAAGAACAATGTGTGTTGACGAGTCTGTACATATAATTTTTGATGAAACTGACTATGTGATTGATGTACAGGATGATGATGATGATTTCGAAATAGGGTTGGTAAGAAGACATGACCCTGATGAGGAATCAACTGCATCCATGAAGCAGCAAGACAAGAATCCTACAGCTGAAAATCAAACTGCAACTAAAACAGAAGTTCCTCAAGAGGAACATCTAGAACCTGATAACCCAGAATCTGAGAATCCGAAGCCACTGAATCAAGAGACAGAAGACAATGGTGCTGAACCAGAAAGATTATATCCAATCAAAGACTTTACCCCTAAACGTTGGAAACATCAAAAGTCTCACCCAATGGACATGATTATGAGTGATATAACCAAAGGAACTCAGACTCGGTCCCAACTAAGGAACTTCTGTGCATTTTACTCATTCCTATCTACCATGGAACCAAAGAACTGTGATGAAGCCTTATAAGATGCAGACTGGATTATAGTAATGCAAGATGAATTAAGTGAATTTGAAAGAAACAAAGTCTGGCACCTAGTTCCTAGACCGGAACACCAGAAAGTCATTGGACTAAAGTGGGTGTACAGAAACAAGCTTGATGAACATGGAATCATTGTGAGAAATAAGGCTAGTATGGTTGTCAAAGGGTACAATCAACAAGAAGGCATAGCTTTGATGAGACATTTGCACCAGTTGCCAGGTTAGAAGCTATACGAATTCTTATTGCTTTTGCAGCTTTTATGGACATTAAGTTGTTTCAGATGGACGTCAAATGTGCCTTCTTAAATGGCTTATTAAAAGAGGACGTCTATGTGGAACAACCCCCTGGATTTGAAAATCCAGAATTCTCAAATCATGTCTATAAACTTGATAAAGCTCTCTATGGGATGAAACAAGCACCTAGGGCATGGTATGAGAGGTTATCCAAGTTCTTATTAGATAATGATTTTAAAAGAGGAAAAATAGACAAAACATTGTTTTTGAAATCAAAAGGAACTGACATTTTAGTTGTACAAATATATGTAGATGTTATTATTTTTGGTGCAACTAACGAATCTTTGGTGAAGTATTTTGCTGACCTTATGAGTAGTGAGTTCGAAATGAGCATGATGGGTGAGCTAAACTTCTTTCTTGGATTGCAAATTAAGCAAATTGAGAAAGGAATAATGATTCACCAGCAAAAGTATGTGAAGGAACTCATAAAGAAATATAAGATGGAAAGTTCCAAAACTATAAGAACACCCATGGGAACAAACATCAGACTGGATGAAGACACGGCTGGAACTTGTATAGATCAGAAGACGTATAGAGGTATGATAGGTTCCTTATTATATTTAACTGCTAGTAGACTTGACATATCGTTCAGTGTAGGCTTATGTGCGAGGTTCCAAGCCAATCCAAAGGAATCTCATCTTAAGGCAGTCAAGAGGATACTTAGGTACCTCAAAGGAACTAATGACTTATGTCTCTACTATCCAAGAAATGAATCAATTGATTTAGTTGGATACACAGATGCTGACTATGCAGATGATCTAGTAAATAGAAAGAGCACATCAGGTATGACTCAATTTCTTGGACCATGCTTAGTTTCTTGGGGTTCCAAGAAACAGAATACAGTTGCTTTGTCCACAGCAAAAGCTGAATATGTAGCTGCTGCAGCTTGTTGCTCACAAATGCTATGGATAAAACAACAAATATGTGATTTTGGTTTGAAATTTGAATGTGTTCCAATTTATTGCGACAATACTAGTGCTATCTGTATTTCTAAAGATCCAGTGCAACATTCTAAGGTTAAGCATATCCACATTAGACATCACTTCTTAAAAGATAATGTGGAAAAAGGCTATATTAAGTTGGAATTTTGTCCTACTAATAATCAAATTGTTGATATTCTAACTAAGCCTTTGAACAGAGAACGCTTTGAGAACATGAGACTGGAACTTGGGATGATCAAGCTGAATTGATTGCAACTGAAGTTCCCAAATATGGTATTGTCAATTACAGGATCAATTAGGAGAATAAAACATCTATCACAAACTTGGTGTGATAAACATAACGGGAATGTCACCGTTGGTAAACTCTTGGAGGTTAGTGCAATTAACACTCATTTAAACTGTACATATAATTTAAGGAAATGTAGACATGTATATGACTTGTTCCATGAATTTTGATTTTAAAATTCTGTTTTCAAGAAAAATTATCTTCTGGAAAATTCTTTATTAAATAAAATGTGAAAAGATAAGTCTTGAATTAAAATTCCATCTAGATTAATCTTCAAAACAAGATAAAATTCATTGTTCCTAAAACTAACCCTTCAACTTCAAAGCACCGTATCACGTATTTACTCTCCTATAAATACTCACCCAACCAACTCCACTAACTCACAATCACATCAAATTAAACCTCTCAAACTCTCTCAACCACAAAATTTTTACAGCTAAACCACAATCAACCATGGCCGACGAAAACCCTAAAAACCAAGAAGCTTAATCACCCACCAAATCTGCTAGCTCACAACCAATTAACCTGGAACCTCCCATTGAATTACTTCACACCTCATCAGAACCTAAAAATACCAAGCCAAAAGCCGTTGAAGAAACCGCTACATCTTCTACCACAAGCCTCCCAAATTAAAATTCCTCGGTCGAATTGCTGAGTGGAAGAAAAGAAAAGCTGAAAAAACGGAGAAATCGCAAGATAAGCAAATTCGGGAAGTAGAGGACGAACCTGAAGAGGCAAAGGATGATTCTGAGGGGGAAGAAGATGAGAAAGCCTTGAAGAGTCAGGCTGACAGGTATGTTGTAGGCTATAGAATAGATGGTGCATGGTGTAGAATGGTGAATTTCGAATTTCTAGATCTGCTTAAGTTTCAGGGTTGGGATTACTTATTTACTGTGAAAGCAAAAAACTATCTATATCCTCTGGCTATGGATGAATTTGTTAAAGAATGTGAATTTGAAGATGGTGTGTGTTGTAGCAAAGTGAATGGGGTTGATGTTGAATTTGATGCTGCTAGACTAGGAACTCTGCTTCAAGTTCCATGTGAGGGATTTGATACTTATATGAAAGAGGTTGTAACTGTGAAGGTGGAAGGGCATACTAAAACCGAAATAATTAATTATTTGGGTGGTAGGAAAGGTATAAGTGTCATGAATCACAATGATCTTTCTCCTTTGCACAAATTGTTATTCAACCTTGTGAAAAAGTCCTTGGTTCCAAGGACACAAAAGAAAAATGAATTGTTCTACTTAGATATGGCCTTAATCTTTTGCATGTCCAAAAGAATTAAAATTAATTTCCCAGCAATCATGCTCCAACACTTAGAGCATTGTAAAGAAAAGGAATTAAAAATATGATATGCTGCAATTCTTGCTTCTGTGTTTGAAGATTTGGGTGTGAAATTGAAGGAATTTGATGGGCATATGAGGGAGAAAGGAGAAAATGTGATAAATGAAACCACTCTAAGGGGATAAGCCTTGATGTTGTGAGGGGGAAGTGCGTGAAGTATGAAGCGCAGAAGAAGAAAGGGAAGGAAGAGGAGTCACAGCTGAGAGGTCCTGTTAGGAAGAGCAGAAGGCTCTCAGTTGGAACTCAGGCCAGGACAAGTGCAAATGATCCCTTGGAGTTAAGTGAAGGAGATGGAGGAGCTGATGAGATAATCACTGATTTATCTAATAGACTTATGCAGGTTGAAGGACAGCTCATTGACATGGCAGGGAAGATGAAGGTAATGGAGAGAAGCAATGCATCTCAAGCTAAGGAGTTCCAGAAAGCCTTTTCAAGCCTGGAAGCACAATTGAAGAAAGATCAAGAAGACAACAAGGCAAATCTTGAGCAAATCCTAAAAGCGCTTGATGTCTGATCACCCTTGCAGCCTATCCCAGCCATCCCTTAGCTTAATCTATTTTCTGTTGGTTTTTAGAACAATGATCTGTTTTCTTTGGATGTTTTTGAACTTTATTTGCTTCTGAATATTTTGGAACTTGGTCTGTAATATTTTCAAGTACTCTGGATGGTTGGTTTTGTTAAATGCTATGGAACTTTGTCTATATATGCATGCATTGTTGAGAATAAACAGGAAAATTTGTGTGAAAGCACTAGCTTAAGAGAGCTAGCCAGCGCTGCTTCCAGCTTCCCGCATTCGATGAATTGCCTGTGGGGCTGTGAGTAGATGAATAAAACTTTGAAAAGTCAGGTTTTTGATAATGCCAAAAGGGGGAAAAGCAGGAGCAAACTTGGAAGCTGAAGTTGTTCTAGTTCCAGTTGAGTAAGTAACAAAGGTTGTTCTCTTCTCTAAATTTTTTTTCTTGCTTTCTATTTTTCATTCTGTTATTTATTTTTGTTTAGTTTCTTTAATTAGCCTATGAAAAAAAAATTGAAAAATGAAAACTTAACCTTCTGTTTCTTTACTTGTTATTCTCAGGAGTTTGCTCAGTTTGTCATCATCAAAAAAGGGGAAATTGTTGACCCTTATGAGGTTTTGATGATGATGTTAAGAATTGAGCAAACTTCCTTTTAATAAGGATTTTCTAGTGTTGTGATGTTTGCAAGTTCAGTAGGCGCTGAGGGCTGAAGTAGGAACTGGGACAAAGGAACTTTAGAAGATTCATGAGGACAAGTAAAAGACAGAAGAAGAGTTCCAGCAATGGAACTTCTCGAAGTTTCTCAACAGGAACTTCAAAACGGGTTGTAACGACCTGGTTCCGGTGTAATGCTGGGGCAAGCCTCAATAACCAAAGATCAGTGCAAAGATCAAGATATCAACTGAAAAAGATGGACTTCATAACTTATAGTGTTATAAAAGATAAGTTTGTTTTATAGGTTGATGTAAACCCATTAATGGTTGTTGCGCATGGAACTTATTAGAAATCAGATAAAGTTTGGCAAACAAACTAATTTGTAAAAGATAATTATAAGTTTTATGAAAAAGTATTTATTTGATTTTATCCTTTAAAATCTGGTTGAACTTGGTTTTATCTTTTTCATAAAATTCTATCTTTTAACAAAAACGAATTTGATAAAATTTGGTTTTCATAAAAAACAAAATTAAATCTGTTTAGTTTCGGTTTTAAAAAGATAAGTTTAGATTTCTATTTAACTTATCTTGTTTGCGAAAACCCTAGTTTATGAGCTGAGAAACTCCTATAAATATAGAAGTAATTCAGCTTAGCAAAATGAGAGTTTTAAGCGTGAAAACCACTTAGTGCTTAAGAGTAAGTTTGCCAAAGGTTTAAGCTTTATCATTTTGATTTCGGGTTTCATGTGTAGCTTTCCATTTATGTGTTAGAGTGTGTCTTTGCGTTGTAATTGGTTTTGGGGTGAGAATGTGAATTCTCTTAAATTCACGTTTGAGTGTATGAGTTTGAATTCTCTAAAATTCGAGTGGTAGTCAGTCACCCCGAGTGTGTCTTGGGTTGCACAGTGGGAAAAAGGAACCTGAGTGTGTCTTAGGTCGAGAAAGGAACCTGAGTGTGTCTTGGGTCGAAAAAGGTGCCTGAGTTTTTCTTAGGTCTGATAGGATAGGTTCTTATCAATTAGCAAGTGTCTTAGGAGGAACTTGCAAAGCAAAGGTCTGTGTAATAGGTTGTACTAGGAGAGTTGCCTATTATAGTGGAATTTGTTTATAAGTCCCAATAGGGCCGAGGTTTTACTTCCAGTTAGGCACTGGATGGTTTCCTCGTAAAACTTGTTGTCTGCTTTAAGTTTCTTTATGTTTTTATTGTTTATTTCCGCATAAGTTCTGCGATTTGAACCTACTACCATTCACCCCCCTCTCGTAGTAGTTCATCTAAACTAACAAAAGGAAAATAGAGTTAGCATCGAGCCCCCTATTATGACTTAAGGTTACGAGTAAAGTACAATTGTCCACGAACTCAATAGTGGAGCAAATGAGAAATAATTCACTTTCCTAATTGCAAATTGCGAAATCAAACAATGGTGCGCGCATTATAAGCCTTTAATATAATATTGCCATATGCTTTGTCCAATTTTTTTTTTTGGCATATTCTTGTTTGGCTGAACCCATATTTTTTTCCTAGTTTTTTTTTAATTATTTTTTATTTTTATTTTTTATTGTAGGCTTGGCTGAACCCATAGCTTACGATTACATTTACAGCTTGTTTGGATGAAGAAAGGGGAAGGAAAAGAAGCGGAGGGAGGAGAAGAGGAGGGGAGGGAAGAAGGATGAGTTTTCTTTCTAAATCTCTCCATAATTGGAGGGATCAATTTCCAACAATTTAATCCTTCCTTTTCTCTGCCCTCCAATCCCTTAGTCCCTTTCTCATTTGCTATTCAAATGAAAGATACTCCATCTCTCTTCCCTTCCTTTCCCTCCATTTCCTTCAACCCAAACACACCGTTAGTACTGTAATTGACATGAGAATAATACTGCAATCTCGCAAAAAACAAAATGGTGGTTGGCTAAGCCAGGCCATATTTCATGATTCAAGATTGTTGAACTTTATTATTTCCAAACAATGTAATACATGTACATGTTCTATATTAAAAAAAGTCTAAAAGGTGAAAGTTAAACACTTTAAAAGGCCGATGAAGTTAGGAGTTATTATATATGATTTTGGGATGAAATCTCTTTGGAACTATAGAGTATACACTTTAAGGGCCTGTTCTCATACGTTTATTTTCAGTTCATTTCAGCTCCTAATTTCCTTCTCTTATAAAATATTCATTTTATTTCAGTTTAGTTCAACTGAGTTCAGTCAATGAGAACAGACCCTAATTCGAGATAACATGCGTGGTTCACACCTGTTTTTTAATGTGATCTAAGGGGTTACCTCTCTTATAGCAATATGGTTTTTGGATGAAATTAAACCTCCTTACCTTAAATTTGTAGAATGAACTCTCTCTTAACGACGGGTGCGATCTAGTCCCGTATTTGACAAAGATCCAAAAAAGCCATCTTGTATAGTTTCATAATATATATATTATATGATTTCCTTCTTAAGAAAAATAGAAAAGTATTAAATTATCAAATTATAATAATGCATGTAATTTGATCAACTTATAGAAACTGATATTAACATCACCTTAGAAAGAAGTTAGTGCATGAAAAAATGAGACAATGATTTTAAGGGGTTTATAATAATATTTGTAGGGAGTAATTTTCTTTAGGTAAAGTTACCCTCTTGCTTTGCCATTATGTAATGTTAATTTCTTATTCCTAAAATGTGTCTATTAGTCGTACCAGTTAATTTAATTGACAATTATTAAGAAACAAATTTCTTTTCTGTTTTCAAAAAAAAGAAATTAGTTTGCCTATGCAGATTGAATGCATAATTTTGTTTATGAATTCAGTTTAATTGGTTAATAATTATAGTGTTGAGGTGTCAGATTGGATCTATTATTTGTATGTAATATGTTTATATATACGAAATTAATATATCGAGCAAAGTTTGGTGGAGTTGGTGAGAACTCACCTTGTGACTTCAAAGTCACAAGTTTGAACCCTTGTTTTCAAGTCATCTTGATTTTAGTCCGATTACGTTAAATTTGTTTTTACAGCTCTATGCGGAGCTAATTATAAGTCTAAAGGCAAACTCTTTTTATATCAGCCACATATAAAGATATAGGTGTTATTCACAATTATAATATGGACCAAATATCCTATATAAGAAACCTCTAGTATTGTTATATTGGGCACTCACCAATCAATTAAGCTCTCCATTACAATTCTCTAAACCCTCTTTTCCATAACCAAAAGCAGAAATATGAAGCAATCAATGAGGCCTTTTGCTGTCATTTGTCTAGTGCTCTTTCTTGTTTTGGCCACAGGTACCTAGAAATCTTCCTTCCCTTTTCAAATTTACATGAAGTCATTATTTTGAACTGTATGAAGTATCAAATAAAATTTAATGCATGCCTCACCTAAAAATAAGCTAAGAAAAAATTAAATTGGCATCCTAATTATTATCTTTTATTCATCAAATCTTACTTAGTTTGATTAGTATAGAAAGATAATTGCTAAAATGCTAGTATATAGCACATACACCTTTTATATTATTGTAAAGATGGAGATACATGATAAAGTTGTCTATTCTATTATGTAGTCAATTACATACATAAATTTAACAAGTCTTGGAACATTATATTGAAGATTTTTATTTATTTTTTACTTTATTTGTCACTCAATCGCCATTTTTTTTTTGGGTTAAAAATGTATAGTCGATAAAATCTTGGGACCATAGTGGTCCCAAAAAATATTGGATCAAACTTTGTTTATGTTATATGGAGTACTGATTTATATTACCTTTACGTAATTACTAACAACTGAGTATCTAATTTTTTGTCCTCCTGAATAAATTAAAGAGATTGGAACAAGAGTAGCCGAAGCAAGAACATGTGGATCTCCAAGTCATAGGTTCAAGGGACTGTGTACTAGCAGCAGAAATTGTGAGAATACTTGCAACACTGAAGGATTTCCAGGAGGAGAATGCAAAGGCTTTCGTAGAAGATGCATTTGTAACGGGCCGTGTGTTTAATTAAGCTATAATCATGTGCTCATTATGTTAAATGTGTGCTGCTTAAAATGCTAATTCCATCCTTAACATGTTCTAGTTGAGGTGGATATGGATGGTTGTTGAATAATAAAGTTATTATTGCATGAATATGTTGTTACATGCAACATTGTGTATGTGTATTTTGTTGTACCACTTGTATGTAAGTGACTATTGTAGTATTTACAAATCACTATCAATGAGTTATTATGTACAAGTTGTACAACTGTACTAGATCTTTTAATTTTAAGATGTTCTATCATGTTATGTGTTTCATTGTGGTAATTTTAAATAATAATGTAACAATATTACTCGGTTCAATCACTATCAATGACTTATTATGTACAAGTTGTATAACTGTACTAATTCTTTTTAAGATGTTATAATCATGTTATGTGTTTCATTGTGGTACTTTTATAAAATAATGTAACAATTTTTCCTGGTCCATCGATCAAATCCAAACTCTATCACAATACATATTAACCTAAATCAATGACCTAGTGAATAACTGAATATAATATAATAAAAGAAGATACATTTTAGTAGTCCACCCTCTCTTCGATCTCTTAGTAGACGGAGGAGGAAAGGTGAATCCATCCCAACCTATCCCTAATTCAATTTGACTCATTGATCGTGAAGTGCCCAAAATGGCCTAATTAGTAATTAATTAACTTGAATGAGCCAAATAACACCATTACTACTGAGCACCATATATAGGCTATATTAAAATCTTACATGAAGGCATGACATATACCTCTAAATTAAATCAGCCGAATCTAATTGATCAAACAAGCCAATAGATCCCTTACTATTGGATATTTAAGGAGAAATAGGTTTCAAATTGTCTATTAAAATTGACCATAACCTAGAAAAATTTTGAGAGCAAATTGAACAATTCTGATACAAACCATGACGTTTAATAGCTTTTTTCCATAGTCAATTTATAACTTATGTTTAGGATGATATGAATGACTGAGCTCCAAATTAAATGAGCAAAAAACTAAGGGAATTTGTACCATCATCATGCACATAATAATATGAGTGTGTAACACGTTTACACTCATTAGTCATTACTCCTTGTTTATAACATGCTTTTAAGTCCATGTTAATAAAGGACATAATGTACTCATTTTCACACCTAAATCATACCCATATCCACTTCAATTGGCTCAAGTGTGATGTACCCTCTTGATTATTGACTCTTTTCATCCTTACTCTTTCAATTCAATCTCTCTTTCCCCTTCCCACCTACATAATCACTGTACCCAGCAACATTGTATTATATGTTCCATCGTTTCAAAAGATTTTTACATAAATTTAAAATTTATGTATTACATTGAGTGTCCATAAAATTTATTGTAAGATAAGAAAACTACTTTGTATATTATAAGGCGGAGGACATATTACTTTAAAATTACGTTTACCATTTTAACACATCAACCAAAAATTCAAAAGTAGTTCACATATACTTGTATAAATGTTTGCTGATGTACTGTATTATTATTATTCAAAAATATACATCTCATTCATTGATATAATGATGTAATTAATTATATTTATGATTAAATCCACCTCTAGGACCAAATTAAAGCAAAAATCAGTTGGTTTAGTGTAACATTATCTCTCATGGTCCTATTTGATGTTGATATATCAATTGATTGTTGGTGCGGTGGTGATTAAGAGTACAATAATGACTGTGTATTTAATCCCCTGCAACAATAATTGAAGATAAATGAAATCAAATTACCCATAATTGATCCGCAACCAAAGGATAAATCAAGTGGAAAAAAAAATATGAGGTTGATATTGGATATGGTACTTAGTAGATCTGAAAATTTAACAAAATCATAGGTAATGGGGCCTGCTAGATACTGAATTGATCGTAATAATGCGCGAATAGTAATGACTCGTGAAGCTCCAGGCATTAAGACAAATTTGTACCGTAGATGTGCACCAGCTGATATGTTACTTTTATCATCAACTCAACTTTTTAGGATATAAAGTCCCATTCTTTTTTAAAGTGCCATCAATTAATTAAGTTACAATGCCAAGTACTCATTTAAGTTCTTTTAATTACTGTAATAGGATAGTCCACATTGGCTTGCTAACCTAATTTTCTTTTAGGTTTTGGATGATGGTAAATTCTTCATGGGTTTTAATTAATTGTAAACATCAGTATCATTCTCTCCGTTTTAGGTTAAATGCAGCAGTTTAACTAATAATTTAGGCCCCGTCAAAAAAAAAAAAAAAAAAAACTAATAATTTAGACATTTCCAAAAACTAATTATCATCAAAGGATTATTCATTTGCATTTTATTTAATCAAAGGCTATGTTCTCATCAAGTCATCAACAAAATACACAGCGTTTGCATTTGGTACAAGAAAATAAAATAAAAATGTTGTACGTTTGCATTTTTGAAAATCGGATTATTACATGTATAGTTTGATCATAAACAAAATTTTTTGTATACATCCGATGTACAATAATATTACTATACGTCGAAATAACTATTATCAAATTTAGGGTAATTTTTAGACTTTTTGAATAACTTTTATCAGTACAACATAAATAACTTTTACTAATATCATGGTAACTTATATATACTAACTTTTGATCATTATTTTTAGGTAAAGTTATAGCAGATGTATAATATTTTATTGTACATTTTTAAAAATGTTTGTCTCACCGGTATTGTATAGATAGAGTTAGAATGAAGTTATAAAAAATTGATTGGATAAGATCCATGTATGTACATTTTATAAATTTGAAAATGACTACTAAATTAAAGAATCACACTAGATTTTGAATTTTGTTCTTTTTCCCATATCTAGTTACCTAATTAAAATTCCTTAAAAAATGAAAAAATAAAGTTATCTAATTGACAACTAAGGAAGCTAAGTAAGGAGTAGGTAGGCAATGTTTTCTGTTGAAGTGTATCATCACATGTAAGTGTCCCACATTGTTTGAAGAAGAGAGACTTAAACACTTTATAAATTTAAGGGGCTACTCCTCCTATTACCATATGATTTTGGGATGGAACCTCCTTAGACTTGAGAAGTAAACTCTTTCTCTCTTGGTTTGCGGGTGCGGCCCAAGCCCGCATTACATGGTATCAGAGTCAGACCCATGGTTTGGGACCTTTAATGGCTTGAGTATATTGTCATGCCCATGGTTTGGGACCTTTAATGGCATTAAGTATTCTGGGCCAAGTTAAATTGGATCAAGTGATCCTTGTGTAACGGGACTTTACATGTGAGGGGGAGTGTTGAAGTGTATCATCACATGTAAGTGTCCCATATTGGTTGAAGAAGAGAGACTTAAACACTTTATAAAGTTAAGGGGCTACTCCTCCTATTGCCATATGGTTTTGGGATGGAACCTCCTTAGACTTGTGAAGTAAACTCTCTCTCTCTTGGTTTGCGGGTGCGGTCCAGGCCCGCATTTAACATTTTCTCTATATAAATGACTCTTTATGCAGCCTTGAGTTATATCACAAAAACAAATTAAACTCTCTATAATTTTGTAAACACCTTTTCTCTTTTTTGCTCAACTTTGAAGCAGCTTGTATCAAACAATGAGGCCTTTTACTGCTGTTTTTCTCGTCCTCCTGCTTGTCTTTGCCGCAGGTACAACCATTTTAATTAACTTGGTATATATATGTAGTACATTTTACGAAAAATTACACTAAAGATTACAAATTACATAGTTTAAATGTTCAATGTGTTTTGAGACAATGAGGAGTAATATATTGGAATGTTACTGAGTATGTCGTTTGGTTTATAAGTACACATAATGCAAAACACTACTAGCATTAACGTTGGTAGTTCAAACGAGAAAATCCTAGTTAATCCCGGCCTATGGCCAGTTGGACACGTTATAAAATGTTTAGTAACTTATTTGTGTTGATATAATGTGTCAATAACTTCGCACTAATTTAAGTTTATGAATTATAATTCTCATATCTATAGTACGTGCTCACAAATTAAAAATGTAGCTCATTATTTTACTTAGATAAATTTAAAAATTGTTCATAACTAATTAAAGATTAATTAAACTTAGTCAAGGTACAATCTTGAGAGAAAACTAACGTATCTAATTAGCTTCCTTGGATCGAGTATCTTATCTTTATTTTTTTGAAAAAAAAGGCTAATTAAAAATTTGTGTGTTTGTTTAGAGATGGGACCAAGAGTAGCAGAAGCAAGAACATGTGAAACAGCAAGCCATAAGTTCAAAGGAGCATGTATAAGTAAAAGGAACTGCGAAAATGTCTGTCAAACTGAAGGATTTTCTGGTGGTGATTGTAAAGGCCTTCGTAGAAGATGCTTTTGCACTAAGCCCTGCGCTTAATTACCCTCTAACTATTGATTATATTCGTGCTCCTTAATTATGTATCCTCAATGTATGGGGTGGGATTATAAAAAAATTCAAAAGTTGTTACTGGTATGTTTAATTGTTGCGAAAAATAATGTGTTTGTCGCATGTTGTATCGGGACTACTAGTATGTGCAATAAAATTGTACGTTTGTTGTGGCTAAAGTGGTAGTGTCATAATCGTATGTTAAACATATTTATCAATCGTACGAGAATTTTTTTTTTAAAACCGATTTTTTTGGATGACTAAGATTGATGGATTGGAATTTTGTAAGATTAATAATTTTCTCGAATGATCAGATCAATTTAGAAATAAATCACTCCGTGTGAACTAGGTCATATATGTGAATGATATGGTGGTGATGGTACGTGGTTGATGGAGGAGTTAAAATGAACACAACTACACAAGTGTAAGTTTTAGATGGATATTCCACGGTTTCTAATTCAATGTCATATCATTTTCTTTGAATTACTATGAATAATAACAAGCATGTTAGGGACACCTAAAACTCATTAAATTGAGAAAGCTATCCTTAAAATGTGTGAATAATATACCCTGTAACCCGCAAGTTGTTTATGGTGGGCTCATAACAAAAATTATACAGATGGATCTAGTGAGAAATTGATGTATGATGTATATATCAATGTATATAGCACACAAATAACCAAGTAATGAAGGTTTGGTTTAGTGAGAAATTGATATCCGTATCTCACAACTATGAGGTTATGTGATCAAACCCTACTAAATACATGTTAGGTAGACTGGTAGAGAATTCCCTTACCACCTCCTCCCCCAACTTCCAAACGCTTAGCCCGTTAACAGAGCAGAGCCATGGGGGGTTGGTGGAGGAGGCTCAATGCCCGTGGTCCAATGGGTGAATCATTTAGTAAGGGATTCCACCCATTTATTACCACTCTAAAACCTAAAGTAACAAATACTCCTACCTTCCTCAAACATAAAATGATTTCTTTCCATAGCGGAACCAAATAGATGAAAAGGTAATAGTTATATGATTCTTTTCTCCCCTCTTATTTGTGTCCTTTCCACTATGTTTCTATTGTTTTAATCAAACACTTCCTTAAGATGGGGTATGACCTTTATTGTTATTAGTATTTTTTTTAAGTTAAGAAGAAGGATCCTACTGAGTCGACACCTCTCACAGCTTAGCCAACTTAGCTCCGCAGGTAATCGCTTGAGAGTAGGGGAACGTAAGGGAATTCTCCTACTCCCAAGCATTTTGTAGCTAGTGAGGCTCATACTCGTGATTTCAAAGTCACTAGGTGAGTTCCCCACCAACTCCACCAAACTGTGCTTGGTAAAGCTTGGTGGCTATGGCCTATGGGTAGGAGCCAAGTCTGAAATCTTTGGACCAAACGGTCCATAACACAAATACGCAATACCCTACCTGGACCTGTTGTAGGTTCTAAAACACTAGAAGCCATATCCTAGAGTTAGAAAGATCCAAAAAGACCTTGCAACCTTTTTACTCCCCCTAATCCATTATCCACTATGACTTCAAGAGCTTCCACGCTTACAAAACAATCAATTTTGGGCTTCACTTGGTCAAAAGAAGTAGGCTCATACACAAGCCCATTAGTTTGCTCAATTTTTAATCCATGCCCTTGATCTACTCCGACGTATTATAGACTTATGGTTTTATCGAACTTTGACAGTTTGATGATAATTATGTATTTGGCTAAAGTGTATTTAGAGGTAAGTTTATAACATTGCCAAAATATTTTTTGTACATAATAATAACAAATTATTGTTTTTTTCAAATAATATTAATTAACTTGAAACAAATTGGGCCAAAAAATAATTGAGTTGAATCTAATCAAGGTCAGAAGTTGATCAAGTTTGTAAGTTGAATCAAAATTTGATTATAAAAAATAGTGGAATTAAAATTAACACTTTTTCATCTTGTAGAGTCAGAGTTATACTATTTAAAATCGGATCTGAATCTAACTTGTTGCCATTCCTACTCCAAAGTAATAGTCAATTCTACTAGCTTTCAACAAATTTAACAACCATTCTTTATTTAGAAAGATGTTGAGTTTTTTTTTTTTTTTTTTTTTTTTTTTTTTTGCTACTTGTGATAAACGATTTTGGAGTTTTGGGAGGTAACTAAGGGTCTGTTCACATTTACTAAACTGAGTTGAAATGAACTGAACTGATTGAAGCTGAATTGAACTGATTGGAGTTGAACTGAACTAAACTGATTGGAGCTGAACTGAACTGAACTAAGCTGAAATGAATATTTTATGAGAGAGAGAAATTAGGAGCTGAACTGAACTGAACTGAATTGATTGGAGCTGAACTGAATTGAACTGATTAGAGCTGAACTGAACCTGAAATTAAGTAAATGTGAACAGGCCCTAACTTATGTTGTGAGAGTGACAATCCAAACTCTCTTAAAGCCCTGCTCTAAACTTGTTATAATGAATTGGACCACTATGACTTTGATCAGTCTATAGGATCAGATCAAACAAGAGCCTCCCAAAGTCCCATGTTTTGGGCTTTACTGTGTCACTAAAATCAGGCTTGCCTTCTTAATTAGTTCTAAAATCTTGTTACATTTTAATTACAATGAGTGAGTAAAAGATGGTTAACTGATACTCCGTAATTTATACTTCGTATAATTTTTGTTATATTCAATCTCATTTTAGTTCCAGCACTAGTAATACACGGTAGAAAATTGTCTCTAGCTGCTCTACTTAGGTGATAGAGGATTAGAGGATCCATGCAACATACTCCATGAGAGCTACATACGGAGTACATGTGAAATAAGAAATTTACTAATTGGACCTTGTCAAATAAGGAAATGTTCAAACTGTTTTGAGATATAAATAAAGAAACTAATTGAATTAATTTGCGGTAGAAGGAGTTTGAATTTTTTTAGGTTAAATCATGTATATAAATGATATAATGTCATGTATTCAATCCAAGATATTGAGAGTATGTATGTAATGAAACAATCTCAAAGCTAAACTAATACAAAAGCAATATGTATGTATAGCTAAATTTACTTCCTATATTAGTGTTAACAAGCCAAATCGAGGCCGAGATTTGGGAAGCTTGAGCCCAGCTTTTGATACTTTATTCTAACTCAATCTCTAGTCTAGACATTTTTCGCGTTAAAACAAATTTAACCCAAGTTAAAAGTTTAATATTGCTTCTCGTTGTTATTTCTTTTAAGTTTTAAAGAAGAAAATAATACAGCTTAGTTACTTAGTGTCACATGCTGATAATTTCCTCAATGCCTTGACACAATAAGTCCCATAGGAGGCAATCTTCCTATACTTGTATGCCTTACTAATGCATGTAATTGTGGTGCAAATTAATGTCATTGTCTTGGCTTTAGCCTTTAGGTACATCATCTATACTCCTAAGCCCTAACTACATTTTATTGTACATTGCATGCATTAATCATATTTTTATTCTACTGTTATATATTGATTGTATATATCTTTATTATTATTGTAGGCATAACACGGCGTATGTAAGATTAAATGTGTACTAGCATAGTCCTTATAGTGGAGTCTGGAGAGAGAGACATATATACACACATAAACAAGCTAAAAAAACGCACATAATGCATGCACAATGTATAATTATATATAATCTATCGTGTTTGATTACAAATTCTAGGTACAATTTGAAAAATACGGAGTATATATATTTTGATATACAACAATAATAACTTTTGTTTAGATTATAAATTTGTACCAAACTTCAGCATTTTTTTTTTTACACGATAAGCTATGGGAGTGTCTGTGTTCCTAACTTAAGCATATACATGTAAAAATAGACATGATCAGTGATTGACGCATGCTCGATCTATCCCTGTGCAAAGCGACCTTCCCGAAAGTAAATTGAAAAAAGAACGTGTCAAGATATCATGTAATGGAATGTTACGTGTAGATTGTTACACACATAGAGAGTATCAATGTTACATCTGTCAAAGATTTCTACTCATATAAAAGTAACCAATATAGTTTTGTGTTTACTTCATAATTAACCAATCAATTAATACTCTTAATCAAATTAAACCCTCTTTTGCTAGAGTTGGAAAGCTAAGTTTTCAAGGAATGAAGCCAATTGCAGCCTTTCTTCTTATTTTCTTGCTTGCCTTGACATTAGGTATAGCTTCCATTTCTCCCTTTATTGGTTTTGTTATGCAATGTTATAATGCTACACGCATAGTCTATGTTAAATTTATTGCACAACATTACTAGTCGGGCCGAGCTTGCATACATTTTATAAAGATTAGGCTCGTCTTCTCTCAATACTGTAATCTTCTATACCCGAGTTGCAATATTTTCAATATTAAATTGAGGGATTGATCAAAATGTGTCACCAAGTATTAATTCTAATTAGCTTAAATCACTTTGGCTGCTGTTTGATTAATTATTTATTGTTGTAATTGTAATTGTAATTTACTGCCTCTTAAGTATTAGGTTTATTTTTAATTTTTTCCCCCTCTAAATAGGTTTGACGATTTTCTGTGAAAATATTTTGATTTTTTTTTCTTGTTATTTGGTTAATAACAATGTGATTTGCAGAGGGGGTGGGTCCAAGAGTGGCAGAAGGATTCTTGTTTAGAAAGAAATGCAATATTCCAAGTGTAAGGTACAAAGGGCCATGCGCAACTGACTCCGACTGTAACGCCGTTTGCAAATCGGAGGGAATGAAATCTGGAGATTGCCATGGCATTCGTAGAAGATGCCTTTGTTGTCGTCGTTAGACTAAGTACTCTCCCCGTCCCGAAATTAATAGTCATTAATGTAACTAGTAAAACCACATCAATGAAGCTTAGAGGGAGTACGACTATCTATCTATATATCTAGCTAGCTCCATGTACTACCATTGTAACTTTATGTATGTTTCACTACCAAAACAGTATCTTTTCTATGTAATTATCTTAAATCAATTCAATCTAAATAAAGCTCGAAATTCAAGTCAATGAAGCCCTTTGCAATCTTTGTTCTTGTTTGTATTCTTGTCTTGGCATTACGTATTCGATCTTGTCTTTATGATTTGAAGTGACCAGCTATTATTATTAAGTTTGTCAACAATAATTCTTTTTCATATATATGTTGTCTGTAAATCAAGTATAAGCATATTTTTTAGAGTTAAAAAGGTGGAATTAATCACATATTTTGTAATTATAAATAAATTATTTCAGACAGGAGGGATGAGATTCGAAACCGTAGTCTTTTTGTCATCTTGACTTTTAGATCAAATATAATATTTTCTTGTCATCTTGACTCCTAGGTAATTTTTAAAATTAACATTATATATATATATATATATATATATATATATATATATATATATATCAAATTCTAAAAAAGTATCATTTGTTTAGATATTTATATTTCATTATTTAATCTTGTAGCTTTTATAACATAATTAAAAAAAAAATCAAGAAAAGCTACATCAAATATTCTATTATACTTTATATGTAATTATTACTTATATGTAGAAAGATTTAATTTGATTCTTATATAGATTGTTTCAAAAAAAAAAAAAAAGTAAGGACACCAGAAAATAATACGTGTTATTGCTGGTGTGTCTTTTAGTATATAGTTATTGATTAAAACAAACTAGAGTTATTATTACAACCATCAATATCCACACTATATAATAGTGTACTTTGTTACCGTACAAATGACTATGGATATCTATACATACTAGAGGTGATCAATGGGCGGGCCGGGTTTCAAAAAAAAATTGCCCATTTCTCGGGCCAAGCTTCGGGCTAGAAAATGTGTGCCCAAACCCATCCAAACTAGTCGGGTCATACGGGCTTTCGGGTTAATTTTGGGCCGGGTCAAAAAATCAACTGAAAATGCAAAAAAAATCGGGCCGGGCTCTGTGTGATCAACTTTAATACATACGTATATAATTATTTTTTTCTTTTCGAATGAGTCGCAAGGGCAATACAAATTTAATATATATAAATTAAATAAAGTAGGCATTTTTCGGGAGCATTCGACGCGCCACATAAGAAAATGTATTATTTTGACCAATGAAATTTTAGATTAATAATTTATTTTAGAATTAAAAAATTCACTCGGCACCTAAAAAGTGACGAATAAGATTTAAGAATTTTGCCACCTAGGTAAAAATAACGAATAGTGAAAAATTAAAATTAAAATTATTTAAAAAACTAATAATTATCTTTTTTACATATATGGATGTAAATCTTTGATCGTAAATATCTTTAATCTCTCCCTAACAAATATTATAAAAAGTAGATATTAAAAATGTACTCATCGAAACGAATAAAACTAAATCTCATATCACTATGTTTTTCCTTATGTACAAAGAGAAATTTAGAAGATCCCCCCTAATTTTTTTAATAGTTAAAAGATTTTAGATGAGACTAACATTTTGAAACAAAACGAGTATATAAAAAAACGCATTTGCAAAGGACTTATTTTAATCAATAAATAAAATGATTTGTCATTTATTTTTTATTAAGCAAAATTAAAGAATAAGGTTAGGAATTTTATTCAAATATCCGATGAATGATCTTCATATAAAAAAAAATCTTAAATTAATTAAAAAGATTTATTAGAATTCGAGAGCATTCGGCTCGCCACATAAGAATAGGTATTATTTTGTCCAATGAAAAATTAGATTAATAATTTATTTTAGAATTAAAAAATTTACTCGTCGCCTAAACAAAAGTGACAAATAAGATTTAAGAATTTTGACACATATATAGGTAAAAACAACGAATAGTGAATAATTAAAATTTATATTATTAAAATAAAAAAAAACAAATGATTATCTTCTTTAAAAAAAAAAAAAACTAAGTAATAATTATCTTTTTTTACATATATGGATCCAAATTTTTGATCGCAAATATCTTTAATCCCTCCCTACCAAATATTATAAAAGTTTGATTTTAATAATGTACTAATCGAGACGAATAAATCTAAATCTATATAATTCCCCATAATTTTAAATAGCTAAAAGATTATAAATTAGAATAACATTTTAAACATAACGAGTATATTAAAAAAAATCTCATAAGAAAAAGACTTATTTTTATCAATAAAAAATGAAAAATTTCTTGTTTCTCATGGTGAGAAACAAAATTCATTTCTCATGGGGGAATTTTCATGAATAAATCAACAACTTTTTCATTATTGTGGGCTCCACAGTTGAATAAAATTGAATAGAATTTTTGCTTTATTTACGAAAATGTCATTTGTTAAACTGGATCATCCTCATAAAAAAAAAAACAAGATTTGTCATTTTTTTTAATTAAAAATTTAAATTGTCACATAAGCAAAATTAATTAATAAGGTTTAAGATTTTAAATTCAAGCGTCACGTAAAATAAATAAAACAACAATAGATAACTTTAGTGTTAAAATTATAAAATTATCTTATGATATTAGGAATGTTATCCATATATGTAATGAATGGTCTTCATTAATATACAAAATTTTAAATTAAATAAAATGATTTACTAGAACCGTGCATTGCACGGGCTTATATCTAGTATATAAATAAAAGCAAAAGATTTGAACTTCAAGACCTCGTTGGTTTAAATTTAAAAATTTTATTTTCTCTGTTCTTTCTTTAATTAATTTGTCAATAAAATTTTCTAAATTACTTTTCATATATACAACATAATATAGTCATATACTCATATTGCTTTTTATTTATTGATTCGTCTTAATAAATATAGTCATATACTCATATTGCTTTTTATTTATTGATTCGTCTCAATAAATAGTAGGTTCATTATTGATGATCAATAGTTATGATTTTTTTTTTTAACTAACTAGCCTATAAGAACACGAGGCACGTGCTATTACTGATTTCTATTTAATTTTTAAATATACAAGCTTATTACAATTAAATACATCTTCTATTTAGAAATAAAAATGTACAAGATTACAATTAAATGCATCTTCTATTTTTTTTTTTTTTTTTTTTTTTGATACCTTGCATCTTCTATTTAATACCAAGTATTTACTCAGTAAAAAATACAAATCGGAATGGGAAGAAGGGGAAGGAGCCCTTGATCCGCATAAAATAACAAAATAGAAAAATTAATTGTCTATGAAGGGGTCTATTTGTTATGGTTACGTTGTTTGTTTTGTGTCGTAAAGGCAATATAATCTACAACCCTGTTAGTTTCTCAGTATGCAAATGTGTTTTTGACCAAAACAAATTGACTTTTACATGTCAATAATTATATCGGTGTAAACGAGTCAAATCATATACTAGTGTATACTTATAGTGGAGTTAACATAAATAATAAGCTATTAAGAAACACACGCAATGTGACAAATAATGTTATTTATAAATTATCTGTATGATTTATCTTCTTTGTTTTGAATCTCTATATAATTAGAAATGTAAAAAGAAATGGAATTAATTAGTGATAAAGTATATTAACCGATCCTAGGCTTTAACCATAGCCAGGACTTAGGAGTTCAAATCTCACTCACCCCCTCTTTCAAGTGAAATATTTCACCCAAGGTATGTGAATAAGGGCTCATGATGCATCTAAATTTCAAACTCAAAGAGCTCTCATAAGAGGGAGTGTGATTAGAGAATATAAACTGATATTAGACTTTTAACCATCAATTCAATGAGCAGATAATAGCCAGACTCGAGACCAACCAACTCTGGCTTGTCCTTTGTCGAGAAATGAACATTTACAATAAAAAAATAAAGATTTTCTAACTAAACATATTTTACCATAATTTTGTATTTCTCAATAATTAAATGTTCATTTTCATGCCGCATGATGTTCATTCTTATACAAAAAATGTTCATTTTGATATAGTATGATATTCATTCATATAAAATAAATGTTCATTTTCATGTAGTATGATGTTCATTCTTATAAAATAAAAATATATATTTTCTTTTTTAATTATTACAAATTTTGTGTTTTTCAGTTGTGTAAAATGTTCGTTTTTATAGTAAAGGATGTTCAACTAACATTAGCATTAATAATATTAGACATTAGCATTTTGTTCATTATTAAAAAAAAAAAGTATTGTTGATTTATTTAACAGGTATTAAATTATACTACGTATAATTCAGCAAATTGCAAGATATTCATTCAAGAGAATTGAACAAATCAGGCATTTCATTTGAAGCTTAAAAATGTTGATGAATAAACAACAACACTATATGTTCATTTTCATTTACAATTGAAATGTTCAATTATATAATATTAGATGTACAATTTTTTATTTTTTATTTTATTTTTTATTCTAGTTACATAGTCTCCACTACTAGAAAAAAAAATCCCAAATCACCCAAAAATCCTAAATTGGGCTATTTGGGGCCCGCTACGATCCACACCCAAATCCACGATCCATTAGAGTCGGAGTCGGATAATCTGTTGGAGCCGGACATTTGTCGGATTCGGATTTTTTTTGTAGGATTCGTTTCTGACCCTCCTCCTACTCAGAGTCAAGTTATTTTAATGGAGTTGAAGTCGAATTACTTTTTTTACGAACTCAGAGTGGACATTTTTCCTCGGATCAGGACGGGGTATAGTCGGATCCTGATGGAATTGCCATCCTTACCTCTAAGTCTCTAACAATTAGATTAGTTAATTTATTACAAATGCTATATTTTGCAAATAGAAAACAATTATATACTTTGTATTGTTTAAATTATAAATTGTACTCCGTACATATTTTTAAACATACTTGTACTGTATAATTAATTAATAAGACATGACCGATTGGCAGTATGAACTATTTCTATGCAAAGCCGCCTCCCAAAATAAAAAAAAATGGAAAAAAAGACGTGTCAAAATATCATGTCATGGTATGTTACGTGTAACTTGTTGCACACATGGAGAGTACCAATGTTACACTTGTCAAGGATTCCTACTCATATAAAAGTAACCTATAGCTTTACTTCATAACCAAACTAATACTCTTAAGCTATTTTCTAAATCAAATAAAACTCTCTTTTGCTAAAATTTCAAGGGAAGTCAATAATGAAACCATTTGCAGCCTTTGTTCTTATCTTCTTGCTTGCCTTGACCTTAGGTATAGCTTCCATTTCTCCCCTTATTAATTTTGTTATGTAATGTTATAATGCTACAAGTATATTCTATGTTAAATTTTGTATGCATTGTATATAATGTGGATTTGTAGGAAAATTATACTCCCTCCATCCCCTCTATTTTTAATAGTCAAAATTAATAGCCTATTTCTACTTAAAGAGTATTTTTTGATAAAATTACCCTCTCTTTGATCATTTTATTTTACGTACTTTTGTCATCATTTTCAAAACTTTCTTCCTCCTTCTATTTAATAATTAATTTCACATCTTTTCTATCTGTTTATCTCGTTCTAATCTCACATACATATTTATAGTCTCAATCATTATTTTATCAAGAAATCTACAAATACGCCATTAAATACGCCATTAAATAAGGGACGGAAGGAGTAAAATATAATATAATGTCACGAAGTATTAATCTTAATAAAAAAGACCCTTAGCGATAATTTGTTAAAAAACTTACTCCGGCGACAAATTGGTAAAAAAAAAAAACTAACCTTAAGCGATAATTTGATAAATAAAATAATCTCAGGTGACACTTAACCGATAAAATACAAAAAATTTCGATAAATTACTCGCGAATGCTTAATATAGTTCGTTTTTCTTGTTATTTTACCAACCTTTTTTTACGGAAATAACAATTTGAAGAAAAAAAAACGTTAAGTATCAATTTTCACTTAAGTTTCATACCCTTATTAACGAAATTTTTTAAAAAGGGGTTGGAAATAAAAAGGGATGACATGTAAATTTAATATTTTAAATGGAAAAAATAAATTTAAGAACACAAAAATAAATTAAAATAGGATTTTTAAAGAGGTTGTCGGAAAAAAAAAATAGATTTTTGGTTAAAATGTCGTCGGAGTTTATTATTTTTACCAAATTATCGCACATTGTTAGTTTTTTTTACCAAGCCGGAGTAAGTTTTTTTATTTACCAATTGGCAAAATTATTTTAATGTCAATTATTTCCTCCAATTTTGTGGCTAATAAAAATGTGATTTGTAGAGGGTGTGGGGCCAAGAGTGGCAGAAGGATTCTTGGGAATTGGAAAGAAATGCAAAGTTCCAAGTAAAACAAAAAAAGGGCCATGCGCAAGTGATTCCAACTGTGACGCCATTTGCAGGTCGGAGGGAATGAGAGCAGGAATTTGCCATGGCTTTCGCAGGAGATGCCTTTGCTGTCCTCATTAGGGTTCCATCATCGACTATGATGACTTAAGTACTCTCTCCGTCTGAAATTAATAGTCATGTTTGAACTGCCGTTCAAACTAACTAACGTAACTTGAACTGCCGTTCAAACTAACTAATGTAACTTAAATCGGACCGATGAAGTTAGAGAGTACCATTATCTATCAATCTATCTAGCTCCATGTACTGGCAATTTGTTTACCTTATATATTCTGGTCTGAATGAGTTGTTTTTCTAGCTAGTTTCTATTAAAGTGTTGTATGAGAGTTGTTTTTCTTGTAAAATTAAAGTGTGCATCATGAATGGAGCCATGTAGGCGTTACCTTTGAGTAATATATTTCCTACGAACTCACATAAATTAAATGTGTTAAAACTTAAAAGTTCCTTATATAAGTAATAACAGTTCATACAATTAAAGGTCGATTGATCATGAATTCATGATCCTAACTTATAAACGAGTTGAATTGAGTATAAATTTGATCGGCCTATTTCATCAGTATACGTGAAGCTATTACCTAATATTAAAGCTCAATTCTGTTTAAAAGTTGTAATTTTTTTTCCTAAATTTAGTTTAAATGTTACAATTTAGTGTTTTTTTAGTATAATAAATGTTAAATGGTCATTTATACAAAGGTTGAGTGGGAACTTAATTCTATTGCAAGTCATGATTTAATGAAGATGCTTAAAAAAACTCAATGATATGGAGTATGTGTCTTGGGAATTGTCCAACTGACTATTCTACCAAACATTCACCGTTCAAGAGTTTTACTACGTAATAAATTGAAAAATGAACAGGATTTTACGTGCTTATATTTTACGGAGTATAAACTAAAGGTGTATATTTTTTTTTTTTTTACTAAAATTCGTTTGCATACTTTTTGTAGTCTGCATGACTATTTTATTTTATTTTTTCAAAAACCTAAAATATATATGCACATTTATGCTTCTTAGTTCTTACGGAGTACTATTTAACGAATAATTTTACTTTTTATTTTTTCAAAAACCCAAGTTAATTTAGGCTTTTTTTTTTTGGCACTCAAATACCACTTATCACTCAACTAATTAACGAAATAATTGGAATGGCTGATTATTTTATTTATTTGTAGCTAACTAGGTTTTTATGGTTTGGCTTTTTGCTAATTCAATTAAAGAACAAGTTGGAATTAGTGACAAAAAACTTTAACCATTTCACTTAATAAATGTTAATGAACTTTATCAAAGATATTAATTATTAAAGTCATAGATCAATGTACATGTAAATTTGATGCGGTATTATCAATTCGGTAACACAATTTTTCAGTGATACACAAAATAAATCAAACATCAAAGGAATGTGATGTACTAATAAGAAATAACTAAACTTTTATAACTTTTATTATCACCACGTATATAAAACCATAAATTATGAGTACATAAATTATTTTTATAATATAATTCTATATATATAGCTCGCTCCTAATAATATGCAACCTTTAAAACTATGTACCCACCTATAAGAGGTGGGTAGCTACTTCAAACTTACTAACAAATAAAATACTACGAGTAGTAGTAGACTAGTAGAGTACTATTAACATTAACATCATAATTTATTTAAAATCTCACTAATATGTTCTAAAAATCCTAGAGCTAGATAAGATAATTACGACTAATCCATACTTAATTAGCATGAGTATGAGATGAAGTACGACTACCACTAATGCACTCTGCCTTAACAAGACCTTGAATAAGAGCATTCTCAATTTTCTCAAGGGCTGAGCAAAATTCTGCACTAAAAGAAATCTTGTGATTCTTAAATAATTGTTGAAGATCCTTCAAGGCAGCCTCATCATCGGCGGGTGGTGATCCGGGACCGGAACTTGGTGCACCAGGGAACGGAAAGATTGGGAACTTAGGGTGTGGGAAAGGGAAGCCAGGACCGGAACTTGGTGCACCAGGGAATGGGAACTTAAACCGGGGGCCAGGGTGTGGGAATGGAAATGATGGGAAGCCGGGACCGGAACTTGGTGCACCAGGATGTGGGAATGGAAATGAAGGGAAGCCGGGACCGGAACTTGGTGCACCAGGGAATGGGAACTTGAACCCAGGGCCAGGGTGTGGGAAAGGGAATCGAGGATGTGGGAAACCGAACCCAGACCGGCCAAACCCCCATTCCGGGTTTGCAGCTTGAGTCTGGGCAAATGTAGTTTTTGCTAGGAAGAGAGTAAGGAGAATAGCTACTAAGGTAATCTTCATTTTTTTTTTTCTTTGGATTGTGAGTTAGGGTTTTTTTGTTTCTCTTTTGCTGTGATATGATGAGTGATATTTTGGAATGAAGGTTGAAGGGTATTTATAATGTTAATGAGGGTGATTAAGGTGAAGATTATCTCTTAAAACATTTTTTTTTATTTTACACCAAAATAAATTATCTTTTAGTTAGTTAGTTGAGAATGAGATATAGTCGAGGTTAGTTCCATTTGCAGAGTTTCGAGTGTATAGTGGATTAATATGGTACACATACATACATATTATTTGTTTTGATGTAACTTTATCAATTTACTAATTAAGTACATACTTCAGTTTAAAACTGCTGTCATAAAAAACATTAAAAAATTAGAAAGTTGTGTGATAATTAAGTTTATTGATTCATTTAATCGTATAATTGTACTTTTTATATTAACTTATAAACTTTTTTTTTTTTTTACCAATATACTAGTTATCTTTTCTACGTAGTTATCAATGCATGTTATGTTTGTATCAACAAACACTATCATGATTAATTAGTTGATTTCATATGCATCCATGTTTAGATATATATCGCCACAGTATATTAATCTTTTTTATAAATTTGATAAGGTTAATATAACCGTTGACCATAATTGAATGGATTGTTGTAGCCCCCTTGATCGGTTATTTGTGGATCGGGAGTCATGAATTGCTCTTTTTATTTATGTTATTATGTAGTATAATTTATTAAATATTACTAAAATAAAACGTGTTGATGATGTCATCAATTCCTTAAAGTGTTTTACGTGTTATGGCTCTCATTAAAAAGTTTCCCTCCAAATTTACTTATTGTTGTAAACTTCTTAGTCCTTACTACCTCTAAATCTTTTCAATATACAACAATATTAGATATTGATAGCTAATTATTATACATTTTTTAGCTTATACTCTAAACATATAAACTCAATAGATGATGAAACATTAAATACATTTTGTATAACAATCACTTTAGAAAACTTTACATAACATTGTAGTAATTATTATAATGCAACAGTAAATAATACGAAGAAATAAACATTTTAAATAGGACTATGTACATGTTTTTTTTAATATTTATATACCAACTTTATTAATTTTTTTTAAAAAACCAAGCCATATTAATTTTAAAATGATATCAACAACAAATTAAAATATATAAAAAAAATATGAAAAAATTACTTATCACCACCCTGCAACACGGGTACTATACTAGTACGGTCTAAATTTATGGATCCGTACGTATTCATGAACTGCTCTTTAATTGGAAGCTATTTTTGTAGGGAGTTTATTTTTGAACAATTGAATGATATGATGAAGTTAGCCCTACGTATATATAAGGGTTTGTTGTAGTATAGCTCATCGGTTTATTTCTTTTAGGCCAAGTTTAGAAAAGGTTTTTTTTTAAAAAGAAACTTATGGATGACATAATCAAATTGGGTTAAGGAAAGTTTAAGAATTTGTTGTTTTACCAAAACTTATCTAGATACGGAGCAATTGTTTTTTACTATCGCAAATGTTTTTTTTTTCTTTCTTTCTTTTTTTTTTTATCAGATCTTTTTTTTTTTTAAAATTGAAGTTAAGTATGTAAGTCAGTAAGTATATACGTCTCAGAAAATTACTCCGTAATAATTAAATTGTAATTTATAATATTTTCTAACGATTCATTTCTTTAGCTCACATTGTGTACCATACTACCATATCATGTACTCCGTAGTCATATAAACAAAGATAAGTATAACTTAAAATTTCACTAACTTATTTTTAAAAACTACTCCGTACTTTTCTTTTTTTTGTGTGAAACTAAGCTAAAGCAAGACAATATGTTTCTTATCATTTTGTTACATAATTGTGATTTTGATAGATACTCGAGCTTTAGATTAACCCCCTCTTCTCCGGCTAGGGAATTGCTAGATTTTTCACATTCAATTTTTATAGGCTTTTAATTTATTGATTTATATTTAATTTGAGTTAATAATCTAGATTTTTTTTTTTTTTTTTTTTTTTTTGGTACTCCAACAATTTTTCCAACCGTGTTATTATACTCGTAATTATAATGACAATACTTATTTTATGTTTGTTAAATATGGAATAGAAAATAAAGAGAGATGAGGGAAGATTGTTACGTTGTATTTCATATTCCATCTAGTACGGGATATATATAATGTACATTTCCTAGGGTTCCATCAATGGATAAGACCAAATACCCAACTCTAGAATATTCTAGATTGTACATGGGATAATAGTCATCCATATTTAGATATTATCATAACACTCCCCTTGGATGACTATATATTGAATAAAACAATAACTAACATTTACTACAAAACCTGTACAAAATAATACACTATAATGCGCATAAGATGCTGCCTCATTAAAAACCTTACCAGGAAAACCCAGTGGGAAAAAACCATGGTTAAGGAAAAAAGAGTACAGCGCGCATTAACTCCCCATCATGACTACATCACTTGAGATCTTTAAGACGACGCAATCCAATGCCGTAAGCTAACTTTTTGAATGTTGTTGTCGGAAGAGCCTTAGTAAATAAGTCTGCTAAATTCTCACTTGAACGAATCTGCAATACATTTATATCTCCATTCTTCTGAAGATCATGAGTGAAGAAAAATTTGGGTAAGATGTGCTTTGTTCTGTCGCCTTTGATGTATCCTTCCTTAAGTTGAGGAATACAAGCAGCGTTATCCTCATATAAAGTTGTTGCTGCCTCTTTCCCAGATGATAAACCACAAACTTCTTTTATATGTTGAACTACCGACCTTAACCATACACATTCACGACTAGCCTCGTGAATTGCTAAAATCTCCGAATGATTGGAAGAAGTAGCTGCAATAGTTTGTTTCATGGAACGCTAAGAAATGGCAGTACCACCATATGTGAACACATATCCAGTTTGTGACCGACCATTATGAGGATCAGATAAATAACCTGCATCTGCAAAACCAATCAAATTTTCTTTGGACAACTTTGGGAAAAATAAACTCATATCCTTTGTACCTTGAAGGTAACGAAGTAAATGTTTAATCTCATTCCAATGCCTTCGGGTTGGACATGAACTAAACCTTGCTAATAAATTAACTGAAAATGATATATCAGGTCGTGTATGACTTGCAAGGTACATTAGTGCTCCAATTGCACTAAGATACGTTACTTCAGGACCAAGAATTTCTTCATCATTTTCCCAAGGTCGAAATGGATCTTTCTCTACTTCAAGTGATCTTACAACCATAGGGTTGCTCAATGGATGTGCTGTATCCAAAGAAAATCTTTTAAGAACCTTTTCTATGTATGTTGATTGATGCACAAGGATTCCATTCTCTAGGTGCTCTATTTGTAACCCCAAGCAGAATTTTGTCTTTCCTAGATATTTCATTTCGAACTCTTTCTTTAAATAATTGACAGTCACTGAAATCTCTTCAGGAGTTCCAATGATATTCAAATCATCAACATACACTGCAATTATAACAAATCCTGATCCAAATTTCTTTATAAAAATACATGGGCTGATAGGATCATTCTTATAACCTTCTTTCAACAAATACTCACTTAGACGGTTATACCACATACGCCCAGATTGTTTCAATCCATAAAGAGATTTGTTCAATTTAATACAAAAATGTTCTCGAGAACTAGATTTTGCTGCTTCCGGCAGCTTGAATCCTTCTGGGAGCTTAATGTAAATGTCATTATCCAGTGGGCCATATAAATAAGCTGTGACTACATCCATCAAACGTAAGTCAAGTCCTTCTCTTATTGCCAGACTAATCAAAAATCTAAAAGTAGTTGCATCCACCACAGGAGAATATGTCTCCTCATAATCAATACCAGGTCTTTGTGAGAATCCTTGTGCAACTAAGTGTGCCTTATATTTTACAACTTCACCCTTTTCATTTCTCTTTCGCACAAAGACCCATTTATATCCCACTGGCTTTACACCTTCAGGTGTACGGACTACTGGTCCGAATACTTCTCTTTTTCCAAGAGATTTTAATTGTGCTTCAATTTCTTCTTTCCATTTTGGCCAATCATTTCTTTGTCTACATTCTTCAATAGATTTTGGTTCATGATCCTTATTATTATCCATAACATCTAATGCTACATTGCATGCAAAAACATCATCGACGTCGATTTGATTTCGGTTCCATGTAATTTCAGACATGATATAATTTATTGTAATTTCTTCATTATCAGGTACCTGAATTTCTTCTTGTATCATGTCTAAAGTCTCTTCTGGAGATCCTTCGGAAATTGTTTCTTCAATTTGACCATCATCAATCAATGCTCCTTTTCTTTTCCGAGGATTCTTATCTTTGGAACCTATTGGTCTTCCACGTTTTTGGCGTGGTTTAGACTCATTAGAAATTTTATTTTGTCCTTCCGGGACATCTATTTTAAATGGAGCATTAATAGCTGGAATATGCGACTTGGTCACTCTTTTTGGGTCAGCAAACGAGTCTGGCAATTGATTCGCTAAACTTTGTAAATGAATTATCTTTTGAACTTCCAGTTCACATTGTTTAGTTCGAGGATCAAGATAGGATAATGATAATTTATTCCATTTAATTTCATTTTCCAGCTCTCTCTTTTCTCCCCCTAATGTTGGGAAAAGTGACTCGTTAAAATGACAATCTGCAAAACGCGCCGTAAATAAATCCCCTGTTGTAGGCTCAAGATATTTAATTATTGACGGGGATTCAAACCCAACATATATCCCCATCCTCCTTTGAGGACCCATCTTAGTGCGTTGTGGTGGAGCTATTGGAACATAAACCGCACATCCAAAAATTCTTAGATGGAAAATATTTGGTTCCTGACCATAAACCAATTGTAAATGGGGAGAACTTGTGATAACTTGTTGGCCTAATGCGAATTAGTGCTGTTGCATGTAATATAGCATGTCCCCAAGCAGAAATTGGGAGATTGAATTTCATAAGCAATGATCTAGCAATTAACTGAATACGTTTTATTAATGACTCTACTAGACCGTTTTGTGTATGAACATGTGCTACAGGATGTTCAACATTTATCCCAATGGACATGCAATAATCATTAAAAACTTGAGATGTAAATTCACCAGCATTGTCAAGCCGAATAGTCTTAATGGGAGTATCTGGAAAATGTGCCCGTAACTTAATCAATTGGGCAAGTAGTCTCGCAAACGCCAGGTTACGAGTTAATAACAAAGACACATGTGACCATCTAGCTGATGCATCAATTAAAACCATAAAATATCTAAATGGTCCACATGGGGGATGTATGGGCCCACAAATATCTCCTTGTATACGTTCCAGAAAACTAATTGATTCAAAATTAATTTTAGCTGGTGATGGGCGAATAATCAACATGCCTTCCGAGCAAGCAGCACATGAAAAATTATTATGAAGAATCTGCTGGCTCTTCAAAGAATGTCCACATGAATTCGTAATTATTTTTCGCATCATTATTGAACCGGGATTAGGGCTGGAAAAAACTGACCCGAACCGAAAACCCGACCCGAACCCGATCCGAAAAAGCGGGTAAGGGTTGAGGTTTCCGACCCGAAAACTTAAATGGGTCGACACGAACCCAAACCCGAAATAAAATGGGTTAGGTTAAGGTTGAAAATCTCAACCCGAAAACGACCCACTTAAACCGAAATAAATTTCAGGTCAAAATCAGGTCGGGTCAACCCGAACCCGACCTGATAACCCGAACTAATTTAAGTAAGAAAAAGAAAAAAAACGTAAAAAGCTTATTAAGCCCAGCCCAAATTCACAAAGAGGCTTCCATATATAAATTCAATACCCTAAATGAACTCATTTCCCCTCATTGATCTTCAGCCGTTTTTCCCCTCACTTATCTCTCTTTAATTTTCTCTCTCCTCAAAAACTCATTGTTGAATTCGACAGAGGTAGTTCCGTTAAGCCCAACTTTACCATTGTCATTTCCTTGACGGCTTGAATCCTTCACTCCTCCACGAATTCCTCTCCTTCATCAAAGGTATCTTGCTTCTTAATTTATTTTCTGTTTTTTTTTTCGTGTTTTTTATATGCTAGTTTTGTTTATTTTCTAATTCTTCTTTTGTTAATTTTATATTTACTTGCTTCCGTTTATTTTAGTTTTTTACATGCTAATTTTCGAGTGTTATTACTAAATTCTGATGTTAAATGTTGTTGATTATGTTATTATACGGTTGTTTTTGCTAATTTTTTATTGTTAATGCTAATTTTTATTGTTAAATGTTGTCTATGTTATGGTGATTCTTGCTAATATTTGTTGTTTACTTTTGTTTATCATGAGCATGCATGTTTTAATTTAGATCTTACTAGTTAGATCTAGAAATATAGTCTGATTTAGAATTGCATGTTTTAATTATGTTAGTGTTGTTTTTCTTTATAGGTTTGGCAGCAAGAAGTAGCCCACCCATGTTCAATTGGAAATGTTGTGGATCAATTTTGAAGCTTGAGGTGGTGAACAAGGATGACAACCATGACAAATTGACAGTCCCAACATCGCCCGATCTTAATCCAAATGAAAATCTTATTGCATCTTCTATTATTTTTTGAAAACTGTAATTTGTGTTATTAAAACTTTATCTTTGGTTTGTAATTAGTGAATTACAATTTTTATTGGTTTATTATCGTTAAGTAGGATTGTTACTTTGTTACACTAAGCTATTTAATTTTGGTTTGAATTAAAATGCTTAACCTGAACAACTTGTATTTGAAATGAAAAAAAAGTTATTCAGGTCAATTTTGGGTTAACCCAAACCTGAATATATCAGGTTTGGGTCGGGTTAATTTCAGGTCCAAGAAACCTGATTTTAACCCAAATAAAAAATCAGGTCAAATAAGGTCAATTTCGGGTTGACCCGAACCTGAAAATATCAGGTTCAGGTTAGGGTTTTCAACCCGAAAAATTAAATGGATCAGGTTCGGGTTGGGGGTAGCTGACCCGAAATTTAGGTGACCCGAACACGAACCCGACCCGACCTGATCCATTTGCCAGCCCTAACCGGGATGGCCTAACCGGTCATACCAAACAACAAAATCATTAGTAAACTTCTGGTTTACTATAGCATGAGCTTCAATAACATTGATTTTTGTGTAGTACAAACCACTAGAGAATATAGGTAGTTTCTCCAAAACATGTTTTAAGCCTTGAGTTATATTTGTGATTTGAAGGAATTCGTTATTTTCTTCATTGATTGTCTCAATATGATAACCATTGTTGCGAATATCCTTAAAACTTAATAAATTTCTTTGAGACAATGGGGAGTATAAAGCATCAATTATTTTAATTTCAGTTCCCCAAGGCAACTTTATAGTGGCTCTTCCGGAGCCCTCAATGATATTTGTACTACCCGATATGGTACTTAAATTAATCCTTTTCATCATCAAATGAGAGAAATATTTTTTATTTTTAAGTATTGTATGTGTAGTTGCACTGTTAGCAAGACATAATTCTTCACCATTCATAGCAAATTGAACTTGAGTAATATCCATGTTTTTCATGAAATAAAATACATGTCAAAATATTAAGCATAAAAATAAAGATGATAAAACAAATAAATCAATAAAAACACTCAAATAGTTCATAAATTTATAAAGCAAAAATCCTTATTACAACGAAAGAAATAAACTTAAATAAATTACTTGAATAAGCAAACATAAGTCTAATACTTAAAACTGACATAATACAATATAATTTTAATTATTCCCTTCTGGGGCAGTGAAGAAATCGGCAACTTCTAAATGAGTTGTACTGTCAAAATCAAAATTATTCCCTTCAGGGGAAGTAAGGAAATCACCAACATCAAATTGATTGGCATTGCCAAAATCAAAATCACCTTCACCATCTTCAAGAACAAGGTTTGCCTCAACTTTCTTTCCTTTCTTCAATGATTCTTGGTAAAGTTCAATAAGATGCTTTGGAGTTCTACAAACCCGAGACCAATGACCTTTTCCTCCACAACGGTAACATATATTGTTATCACTTTTCTCTTTTTCATCCCTACGTTCCCACTTCTGGTGGGAATGTGAGTTTGTGAAATGACCTCCACGACCTCTACCATATCCACGTCCACGACCCCGGTCGCGCCATTGGCCACGACCACGACCTCTACCTCGACCACTACTGCTGGAATGGTCCCTGTTTTTAGTTTCTTTTCCGTTATGGGTTGTCACATTCGCTTCAGGGAATGGAGTAGAGCCAGTAGGATGTGATTCGTGATTTTTTCATTAACAACTCGTTATTTTGCTCAGCCACAAGAAGACAGGATATTAATTCAGAATATTTTTTAAAACCTTTTTCTCTATATTGTGTCTGCAGGACAATATTATTAGCATGGAAAGTGAAGTATGTCTTTTCAAGCATTTTTGCATCAGTGATATTTTCTCCACATAATTTCAATTGAGAAGTTATTTTAAACATAGCTGAGTTATATTCACTAACAGATTTAAAATCTTGCAATCTCAAATTTAACCATTCATAACGAGCTCTAGGGAGTAACACTGTTTTTTGGTGGTCATACCTTTCCTTTAGATTACTCCAAAGGATTTGTGGGTCATTCGCCTTATCTTGAGGTGTTGCCTTATTAGCCTCTTTTATTGTTTCACCAAGCCCTTTAGCATCCAGGTGTATTTCAGCATCTAACACCCATGATAAATAATTCTTTCCAGTAATATCAAGGGCCACAAATTCCAGAAAAATCATGCTCTGTATTCGTTATATATGTTGATATTCCAATAAATAAGCATGCAAAAATTGATAAATGTTAAATTATAATTGTTATGGGCTGCGATCATAATAATAATATGGGATTCTAGATAAATGTTTGAATGGTGCTGATAACGTGTTAAATATGGAATAGAAAATAAAGAGAGATGAGGTTCCATCAATGGATAAGACCAAATACCCAACTCTAGAATATTCTAGATTGTACATGGGATAATAGTCATCCATATTTAGATATTATCATAACAAGTTAGCATATTTATTTTTCACATTACATTTTAAGTAGGATCTTCGAAGAGCTTGATTTATGATTAATAAGAATTAAAACATGAGTAAAATAGGGTATCCTGATCTAAAAGTAACCAACCATTAAATATGAATGTAGAATCCATTGCTATTAAACCAAAAATGAGGTTTTCAATCCATACCTCCCTAAACCTGCTTCTCAAAAATAAATAAAATATGAATTAACTCTCCTATTAGCTAGCCTCTTAGAGTCTTAGATAATATAGCAAACATTGAACCCTAATGTTGAGCAGAAAACAAGCTAATAAATTTAACGAACAGTTTAATCTAGCTAATATTTTGATTTGACTAATCATCAATCATGTTTCATGTATAACTAAGGGAACATTATATTATATTAAATTAAAGAATTAAATCGTTCTAATTGCAATCGACAAGTATGACAAACATCAATCTAGAAAAGTATTCCCACACCACTAACATACACCAAGCATAATACAATACTTAAAGAAAAGAAAACCAATACGAAGCATATACTAATGCCTTATTATTATCATCAATAACCCATTTAAATTGGATAAAACTAAGGATTTTATCATTTTCTACACGATTAATTTGAGCATTTATACATGATTAATTAGAGCCATAAAACCTTGTTTATTAATAATACGACACATATTTACGAAAAGAATTGTGAAATTCGCACACCTAATTGATTTGACTGTCCATCTCGCGTTACATGGAGACATCAAATTTATTGATATCAAATCGAGGCATAGAGTTGAAGAAATCTTACTTGAAATATTATAATAACAATAAGTAAAATAAAAAAAAAAAAAAAAAAATAGATAGCATAAATTAAAAGATCATTACGTAAACAAAATGCCCCCTAAAATTATTAATACCATATATTAAAAATCATTATAATGTTACATATAATGCTCTACGTACCCTATCCTATCAATAATCCTGAATAATTTGCTCATCAAAATAAATAAATACTAACATCATGATTATCATGATTTATTCAAAAGCTTTAAATACTATGTTCTAATTAATAAATGAACTCCAAATCAAATATCAAGTGCGAGTAGATGCTTTCTAAGAAGGAGGTGGAGGACTACCACTAGAGCATACTGCCTTGATAAGATCTTGAATAACAGGATTCTGGATTTTCTCAAGGGCTGAGCAACAATCCGGACTTAAGGAAATCTGATGATTCTTAAACAAGTTTTGAAGATCTCCCAAGCAAGCCGCTAACCCATCATTCGCTGGTGGTGGACTACTCCCACCACTGCTTGGTGCACCGGGGCTAGGAAATGGGGGTAGTGAGGGGAGTGGAGGGAGCTTTGGAAGGGAAGGAGCGCTAGGAGGGCTACCGCCGCTGCTTGGTGTACCAGGGAATGGGGGGAGTGGAGGGAGCTTTGGGAGAGAAGGAGCGCTAGGAGGGCTACCACCGCTAGGAGGGCTACCACCGCTGCTTGGTGTACCAGGGAATGGGGGGAGTGGAGGGAGCTTTGGGAGAGAAGGAGCGCTAGGAGGGCTACCACCGCTGCTTGGTGTACCAGGGAATGGGGGGAGTGGAGGGAGTTTAAATCCGGGGCTAGGAAATGGGGGTAGTGAGGGGAGTGGAGGGAGCTTTGGGAGAGAAGGAGCGCTAGGAGGGCTACCACCGCTGCTTGGTGTACCAGGGAATGGGGGGAGTGGAGGGAGCTTTGGGAGAGAAGGAGCGCTAGGAGGGCTATCACCGCTACTTGGTGTACCAGGAAATGGGATTGGAAAATTAAATCCGGGACCACCATCGTTTGGTGGCCCAGGGTTTGGGAAATTAAATCCAGGGCCAGGTTGTGGTAAACCGATAGGTAATCCAGGACCATTATCGCCACCATTTGGTGGTCCAGGGTTTGGGAAATTAAATCCAGGGCCAGGTTGTGGTAATCCGATAGGTAATCCAGGATCACCGCCACCATTTGGTGGTCCAGGGTTAGGGAAATTAAATCCAGGGCCAGGTTGTGGTAATCCGATAGGTAATCCAGGACCATTATCGCCACCGTTCGGTGGTCCAGGGATTGGGAAATTAAATCCAGGGCCAGGTTGTGGTAATCCGATAGGTAATCCAGGACCACCGCCACCATTTGGTGGTCCAGGGTTTGGGAAATTAAATCCAGGGTTTTGTGGTAATCCGATGGGTAATCCAGATCCAGGGTTAGGTTGTGGTAATCCAGGTTGTGAGAATCCGATGGGTGGGTTATCAGCTTTAGTTTTTCGGTTTTGTACAGCAAATACACATTCTGCCAACAAAATAGTTAGAAGAAATGCAAGGATGATCTTCATTTTTTTTTTGTTGTAAGGCTTCGGCTTTTTACTTGTGTTTTAGAAGTGAAGTGTGATATGACTTTTGAATGAAATTTAAGGTATATATAGTGGTAATGAGGGTTATTAAGATAATTATTGAATACTAGAATTATTCGTTGAGGAATGAGATATAGTTAGGTTTGTTCCAGTAGTTGTGTTTCAAGAGTGTATTTATGAGTAATATGACACCCATACATGCATGTTAAATTTCTATGCTGTTAATTTAACTTTATCTTTCTATCTTTTTTTTCTTTTTTTAATCAACTTTATCATTTCATTTCATATATTCCTAACAACATTACTCTACATCTGCAGAGTAACATCATTTTTAATCGTATATCTGTACTTCTTTTGTAATTTTGTAGTTATCAACGCATAATATTTTGTTTCCTAAAAAATCAAGAAGAAAAAAAAAAAAAAAAAAGCATCATATATATATCAACACATATTAAGCGTTGATTAAAATGATTTAACTATTGAATGATAAACTCATCCTTTAAATCACTCTTCTATATACATAACCGTATGTATGTGAAGGATAAATTCATACTTTAGATCACTCTTCTATTATACATATATAACCGTAGGTTTAGATATCACCAAAAAATATAAAACCATTGTTTGTTTGTTTTTTTTTTTTTTGTTACTTTTTTTTTTTTTGTATTTTTTTTTTGTTACTTTTTAATAAAGAGGATAGTGATAGAAAATATTCTAATAAGATATTGATAAATATTTGTAGGGTTATAATGACTCAATGAGTGTCTTAATTTTAAGTACTGTACTCTGTAACTAATAAGATATGCGTTTACTTTATAGTTATTTATGATAATTGATGATGGTTTCAAAAAAAAAAATATTATGATTGATCATTCTTTTTATTTTTTAGGGAAAAATGCCTATTTTACAACCGTAAAACTTGAAAAGCATAATTAACATTAGAAGAAAATTCCTCCTAACGTTTGAAAAGTTAAAAACTTAAAACCAATTCCATCAATACAAAGTCTAGAATAACCCCAATGCACAATAACTTCCCCAACTTTTGTTCATCCATTTTATCGTATAACTTTAGCTTAGGTTTCAGATTTCAAATTTTTCAAAACTTGAAGATAATTGAAATTTTCAATTATTAGATGTTGATTACTCATTTGATGATTTTAATATTGTACCTACCAGTTACGTGATTTGTATTAGAAGTTCTTTTAAGTTTTAACTGTTAGATGTTGATTTTCTTTTTAATTTAAATATTATACGAGTTAATCGATCAATTTGTACTAGTCCATTTTTAAAATTAATTTTTATCATACAGGTTAGTGTTTGAATATTTTTTCAAACCAACAAAATTTTCGATTTTTTCCTATTATTTTTTTGTGTTTTTGTGTGGATGTGTTTTGTTTTTTTTTTCTTCATATATTACTTAGATATAATTTTTGCCTTTACATCAACAAACTTAATCACAATTTTTTTTTTTTATTATTTATAATTAATTTTAGAGATACAATATTAAGCTATATTAAGCACTTTGCAAATTTCTACTCTATAATGCTTGTAAAAAAAATAAAAATAAAAAACTCTGTATTGAATTTGAGAATAAGGATCAATATATATAATTAGGATCTGTTCTTTTCAGCTTAATTTCATTTCAGTTCCTAATTTCCTTCTCTCATAAACAATTCAGCTCATTTCAATTCAGGGCCTGTTCTCATTAACTGAACTCAGCTGAACTGAATTCAGCTGAACTAAACTGAGCTGAGCTGAAGTGAACTGAACTGAAATGAAATGAATATTTTATAAGAGAAGGAAATTAGGAGCTGAACTGAACTGAATTGAGATGAACTGAACTGAACTGAATTTCAACGTAAAAGAACAAGCCCTCAATTCAGTTCAGTAAATCAGAACAAGCCCTTATTAGTACATAATTTATCAAAATAAGGTCTTTTCATAGAGATGATTAAAGTTAGCCCGGCCCAACTCGGTTGGATTTTGGGCAGAATTTTTTGGCCCAAAATCAGGTTGGACCCAACCCAACCCTTTTTTTTTTGCGAGCTTGAGAATGCGTTTTTATACATATTTAATTTATTTTTTAGGCCCTGCCCGAAAATGGCCCCAAAAGCCCATACAACCCGACCATTTTTGGGCAGGTATGGGCACAAAAAATTCCGCCCACGAAGCTTGGCCCGACCAAACCCAGCCCGAGAAGTGGGCTTATTTTTCCCGGTCCGGCCTGCCCAATAATCACCTCTACATGTTCACTTCACCTTATAAAAATTAAAAATAATTTCAAATTTGCAATAATAAGTTCAGTTCATTACATTAAAAATAAGTTTAGTCCAATAAAAATAATTTCAGTTTAGTAAAAATCAGTAACTTTAAAGAGGAAATATAACATAAAATCAGTAAAAATAATTTCAGTTGAGCAAAAATAATTTCATTTCAGTAAAATTAATTTTAGCTTAGTAAAATATAATTTAAGTTCTGCAAAATAATTTAATTTTAACAAAAATAATTTCAGTTTAGTAAAAATAAGATGAATAAGTTGAACTAAACACGGCCTTACTATGGACCTATTGTATCGCAAATTTTTAGCTGGAATGCGCCTGTCCATAGCTGGCTGGTCTCGCGCAACATAAATAAACATTTACAACAAAAAAATGAAGATATACTAGAATAATAAAAATTAAAATCTGAAACTTGCAATATATAAAAATGAACATTTATAATATAAGAATAAAATAAAGAGACTATATATGAAACTGAAGAAAAGAAAAAGAAAAAACAAGTGTACATATAATATTATATAACTGAATATTTCATACAATAATTTTGTATTTCTCAATAATTAAATGTTCATTTTATACAGTATGATATTCATTCTTAGTAAATAAATGTGTGTGTATATATATATATATATCTTCAGTGACATAGTCTCTTTATTTTATCTTATATTATAAATGCTTATTTTTATATATTGTAAAGTTCAATTACTAAATGAACATTTACTTACACGAAAGTGTACAAAATACATGCGTACTTTTTATTGCATAGACATTAAACAATAACATTAAAGAAACTATGAAATGATAAATCCATTTTTTACAACTGAAATGTTAAGTTATATAACATTAGATGTAATAGTATAATTTTTTGTCAGTTTCATAGTCTCTTTATTTTATTCTTATACTATAAATGCTCATTTTTATATCTTGCAATGTTCAATTACTTTATCATCATTTTTTTTAATAATGTTCATTTTTGTTTCTAGTAAATAAACTTAAACCATGAATATACACATAATCAACCGTAAAGAAGGAATAAAAAATAACACACAAAATTATTCAATAATAAGAAACTACATTGAATCAAAAAAGCAATAAATAAACTTACATTCATCCAATAATGAAGGAAGAATTGCATATGAACAATCAGTAGCAAGCTCCATTGTTATTCATAAACAAAAAAATCGAAAATCTTGAATACCTTGAATATGTAGAACAATTCAACACTAGAAAAAAAAAATCGAATATGAACAATGAGAGAGAAAATATTGTAAAATACAGAAGAAGAGAAAATTTGAATTACGTAGTATGTGAAAACAATAGAAGTAGGATCAACCAAATAAGAGTGGGCTCCATACCACACCACAAAACGACGTCGTTTTGGCAAGGGTCCATTAAATGCTAGCTAGTCTCGAGACCATGCAAATATTTGCACTTTATTTAAAAAGGTTGAAGCTTAGTGGGTTAGACCATACGAAGTATAAGTGAACCACTAAGGGCCTGTTCTGATTTACTGAGTTGAGCTGAACTGAACTGAATACTTTATGAGAGAAGAGAATTAGGAACGGAACTGAACTGAACTTAAGTTGAAGAGAACTGACCCTAAGGGCCTATTCTCATTGACTGAACTCAGCTGAATTGAACTGAATTGAAATAAATATTTTATAAGAGAAGGAAATTAGAAACTAAATTGAACTGAATTGAAGTGAACTAAAAATAAACGTATGAGAACAGACCCTAGCTCTACCTCTATACGAGCTTGTCGTTCACTCTTCGTTAATCTTTGTTGCATCCGTTTCCGTTTAAACAAAAAGGCGTCGGGTGGCAACCAACATAACACACGCAATGACGCAAGTCCCCCCAACAACAACATGAGAAAGGACATGAAATGAGCAACAGAAAACGAAACATCAAACCAAAGAGATAACAGAAGAGAGAGAAACAACAATGGTGGCCATTTCATTGTACAGAGGAAACCTCCATAGATTACCTTCCGACGTACCAAGAAGGTGGTTAATGCCGACTCATGGTATTTCTATCAAGGATTTCCGATCTCTTCTTTGCCGCCGTTCCAAGGCTCTCTCTCTTCTCCCTTCTTCCTCTTCTTCCGTCGTCGAAAACCCTAACCCTAATTTTAATTTGAATCCTGTCAATTCCTTACCACCGCCGCCTAATCAATCGGGTTTCAAGGGTGTTGAAAACCCTAATTTGGGTCATGAACCATCTAGTGATGTTGTTACTGTTGATGTTAGAATGAGTGATGCTGGTGATTCTGCGCCGTTGGATCATCCGCCATTGGTGATTGATGAGGGTGTTAAGATGCTGGTTGAAATTAAAGAGAAGGAGAATGAGAAGAAGAAGGAGAAGGAGAGTGCTCCTGTTGTAGATAATCCAATTCCTACTACTTTAGAGGTATAATTTCTTCTCCAATTTTATAATTTAGTTTACATTTTTCAATTTATTGGATTTTTTCTGCTGGATTTTTATGCCTGATTGCTAATTTACTGTCAATTATGATAATGTGGTTAACTGGTTTGCCCATTTCAAATTTGATTATTAAATTAGATAACTTGAATTTATTTTGTTTTATGTGTTTGAAATTATATTGTGTTTTCGTAGTACATTGGGTTTTTCGAATGGAAAAGTAATAGTGCATTGATATTTTAGGCGAGATAATTGGGAAATGGGGAGGGTGGTGATGGCTTT